CGCCAAGACATCATGGCTAGCGTGCAGCCGGGCCATTCCCATCGCGACCTGCACGACGATGAATCGTTCCTGGATGATGATCTGATTGAGGCTGATGATGGTGAGTACTATCCTCTAATCTTTTGTTTCTCCAATCACTCACTCGCCCTGGCTGGACTTGTCTTACTAACAACCTGTGTGTCCCTTCAGCTATCGAGGCCGACGACCCCCTACACGAAACCTCCGACACAGCCCCTCTCCGAGGCAACATTGAATCTGACTCCGGCTCACGAGGTGGCCGGGCATCCGGCTATGGGAACTACTTGACCTCCTCCATTCCGGGCGAAGACCGCCGCGCGACCAGAATACCATCGACGAGAGCGTTTGGGCCACGCTGTCGCGCGACCTGGTCGCCGTCTGGGAAAAGATGCGCCAGGTGCTTTGGCCCAAGTACCTGCTCGGAGGAATGATGCAGCGAGGTGGTGGTGGTATTAATGATGCTGCTGAGAGAGGCGAGGTCTCTGGATTTGGTCGTAACCTGCGCGGGCTCGTGGGACGCTGGCCGGATGCCGACGTGGTCCTCCAGGGTGGTATGAGTGAAGGCTTGCGCGACTGGGACTTGTGGTACGTAATCAAAACGATCCCCTCCTCCATCAACTACTGGGCTAGTGGACTAACAATTCTTGCTTGTAGGGGCCCGTTGATCTTCTGCTTGGTTCTGAGCTTGTTCCTGTCCGTCGCAAAGGGAGACCAGTCGTCGCTGGTGTTCTCGGGAGTCTTCTGTATTGTCTGGATTGGAGAAGCGGCCGTTACTCTCCAGATTAAACTTCTGGGGGGCAAGATGTGAGTATGGGCCTGTTTGTCTTGTCTGGGGTTCATTGCAATTGACTAACACTGCGACTCACTCTCCAGCTCCTTCTTCCAGTCAGTCTGCATCATCGGATACACGCTCTTCCCTCTGGTTATTGCGGCTCTCCTTAGCGCCATTGGTCTCCCTACAGTCGCCAGAATACCCGTTTACCTTGTCCTCGTGGCATGGTCCTTGGCTGCGGGAGTCAGCATCTTGGGTGGTTCGGGAGTTCTCCGGAACCGCGTGGGCATTGCGGTCTACCCGCTCTTTGTTTTCTATATTGCGATTGGATGTCTTTGTTTCGTCAGCTAGATTGCAAGTGGTGTCTTGCTTTCTTATGGGTCAAGGATATTCCTTGGCCAGTCATGTTGGGCTTCAGACTCGCGTGGACCGCCTGAAGAAACCCCCGTATGAACCTGCAGCGCACATGTATACATACCTTATGTCTAAGTAGCAACCTTTCACAGCCGAAATCTGAACGTGTTTCTTTGAACTCCGCAACGACCTTGGACTTAGATGAGAAGCCACGGCAGATGCAATAGCGTCTACTCAAATTCACTAACAAGATGATACCAAGGTATCGAGCAGTCATCTTTTTATTCGTACCTAGAACAAAGCACGACCTGCTTCGCCAGCCATTGGGAGCTCAAGTCACCCATCAGTCTACAACTCTGTACATCAGACACCTCAATTGGTCTTGAGTACTACAACGTTCATTGGCGACCGCTCCGATAGGCCGATAAGCAATGCTTCGGGCTTATTAGGCTAATATACCGTTGAGTATATAAGAATAGAAATATGCCATGACAGGCCACTCAATTTAGGCACCAACATGAAATTGAAAGTGCTGCAGCTTTCCACCGAATCCCGAGGGCTGTTGGGAGGTTTCTCTATATGTAGTAGCCAAAATCCGCAATGATAGCGGCTCACAATGCAGTAGTAGAAAGACCAAACCTTTTCGCACGTGTGTACAAAGCGCAGTGAATAAACCTTTGGGAATTCACTCTTCGCATAGCCAATCTTGGACTGCCAGTCCTCGACGCAAGCAGCCAATCAGTGCCGACGGACAACTTTGAAGCCGCAATTCACTGCGGGGCGGAGCGGTGTCCACGACAACAACGACCCTTATATTCGCACTTCCTCTTCTTCTTGTCCAACCTCTTCCTCTTCTCTCCCAACCCCAACAACCACCTCGTCTCTGATTCGGCTGCGCTGAATCACCTATTTACCGAGTTCATCTGACCGTTCCAGTCTCTCGTCTCACACCTCCCCTCTAAGTGGGTATCTGGCATACCCACCTCTTCCGACAAGTTCGTCCTCGAGCCACGAGGACTGTGCCATGGCGTCCTCGGACGAGCCGGTGGCTGCGGCGGGAAGTAAGTTCCTCCTATTCCAGGGGCACACTGCTCAAGAGTCCTTGCGGTGGCGGAAACTCCGGTGTCGCATGCAAACCCCGGAGCAATGAGCACAGCAGCTTGGCCGAGTCGGCAGGTCGGGTCGCTCAGCTGGGCGACCGCTTCCTGTCACCGGGGTTTTATCTATACCTCCCCCAGCTTCCATCCGCAATTCAATTCTATTCATCCTCATCCTGCCTTCTGTTTCTGCGGTTCTTGGCTTTTCGTTCATGAGCTGACTGTCATTCTTCTTGTCGCAGTGAGCGGCGGAGCTCACTCCCCGCCCTCGGACAACGATGGGGGTGAGCGACCCGTTCGAAAACAGCTCAAAGAAACCTCAATCGATTCGACGCCCGCCGGAGATCAGACCATGAACGGGCGAAAGCGCTCCTTCGAAGAGTCGCGCGATGACCACGGTGACCCCAACGAGAACGGCGACCACAGTCGGAAGCGATCGCGGGAATGCACACCGGAGGAGGCCAAGAAGACCGAGTCGGTCAAGGACAAGGATGGAATTTCCGGTTCCCTATCACAAAATGTGAGTGCAACTGAACCCCAGGAACCCGAAGTGGCCACCCCCTGGATACTGCCCAGAAGAATTCCGACTCGGAGTCGACCCTTCCAGAAAATTTATTGGATCTCGAGGACTATGAGTATTATGAGGCGCTGGAGTCCCTAGCACGTGCTGTGGCTGCAAAGTCCCGTGAGTTGGAGAAGTCCAAAGAGTCCGAGAAGTCCAAGGATCAGAACGTGAAATCGGACCCTGGATCCGCTGTTAGTCTGAAGGGCATCAGCACCGAGGGACCAGGCATTTCCAGCAACAAACACAATCACGATGAAGATGAAGATGACACCAACACCCATTCCCAGGACCTCTCTGTACCGTCGGACTTTGACCAGGCCAGCAATGCAGCCAATGGCTCTGCGGCTCAGAATGTGAGTGATCCTGAATCTGTGTCTGAATCCGAAACCTCTGGACTGGCGACCTCCCCGGAGACCGCCGAACATCTGGATAAATCCTCATTACCCTCCTCAGAAGCGGGTGCCTCCATCACACCTAGAAAAAAGAATAGGAGAAAGAAACTCCTCAACCCCTTTGAGGACGAAGAAAACCTCATTTTCAAGATAGAGGCAATATTCACCCCTTCTGGTTCCGAGGAAGAGTATTCCGCTTCTGAGGATGGTCAAGATGTGAATTCCGACACAGGAGATCTTCCCAGCCCCAAGGACCAGAGTGCCGAGGAGCCGGATAGTGACAATAAGAAGAATGATTATACCAACACCCAATCACAGGACACCGAACAATCTTCGATTGAACCCTCTTCCGCCCCTCCTCCCAAACAGTCTGACGCCATGGACGATGAATCAGCCAAGGTCCCCAAGAAGAAGCGAAGCCGGGAGCAACTCGAAGATGAGAGCTCGAAAAAGTCGGAGGCTTTGGGCGAAGCGGCCCAAGAGCCTATTCAAACTGAGCCCTCTGATGAAACTTCCGCAGCCAAGGGTGAACCGGAGAAGAAGAGACATCGTGACAACTCACAGGAGCCTGATACGAAGACTGACAATGTTCGTTTACTCATCTATCCATGACTTTATCTTTTATTGTCTTCTAACCACTTCTCTAGGGATTTGCCACAAGTGCATTTGGCAAGGCGGCCGCTGCCTCTCCTTTTGCTGCATTTGCAAAGCCAGCAGCCTCTACTGAAGAATCCACACAGAAGACCACACAACCCTCGGCATTTGCATCGTCTAGCTTGTCTGCTTTTGCCGGTTCCGAAACCTCTCCATTCAGTGCCCTTGGATCATCGACTTCCTCTGTCTTCAAGCCAGCCGGTGCTGGATCGTCAGGCTTCGCATCTGCCTCTGGAACATCTGGATTCGGTGCTCTTGGAAGTGGATTCGCGGGAGTTGGTGGTGGTTTTGGTGCTGCTGGGAAAGCTGGCGGCTTGAGCAGCTTTGCGTCTTCTAATGCCCCAGCCACTCTCGGCGAGTCCAAGCCCAAGGCCATCGGCGCTGAAGAATCCGATGAAGAGGGCAGCGACAACGACGAAGAGGAGACGAGCACGTTCGAGGCAGAGAAGACCGATGAACGTTTCTACGAGCAGACAAGTAAGTGACCTGGGCTCTTGCCTCCGCCTGATTGCTGTACTAACTTGCCATAGTCGAAACCGGCGAGGAACAAGAGTCTACCATTTTCACCTGCAAAGCTAAGCTTTTCCATTTCTCGAACAAAGAGTGGAAGGAGCGTGGGATCGGTACCTTCAAGGTCAACGTCCGTGAGAACGCTAGTGGCAAGACTACTGGTCGCATGATCATGCGTGCCGATGGTGCTTTGCGAGTGATGCTGAACAGCCCGATTTTCAAGGGCATGAACTACGGTGATGCCCACAACAATGCCCCAGAAAGCAAGCAGATTCTGTTGGCCAGTATGGAGGATGGGAAGACTGTTCCTTTATTGCTACGAGTCAGTCATGACGCTCTTGTCTTCCCATGAATTCTGCAGAATGGACGTGCTAACTTTGTCCCCTAGACTGGCAATGAAGCTTACGCGAAAGAGCTCTACGAGGTCATTGGAGATCTATTGGAGAAGGCTTGAAGTCGAGGATACAGAAGACGATGTGGGCTAAAGAACCGGGAAGAGTACAAGAGGTCGAGTACATCTGGAGATCTGGAGTTTTGTGGTCACGTTCTGCGAAGCCATGTTTGATTATTAGCGATCATGAATTCACATGTTCAAGTACTTATCAGGGTTTTGGCGCAGGAACTGCAAGTAGAAGATCGTACTCTCGTCTGGTACGTATGCTGTATTCCATCCCGAGGTTCCCAATTGGATCTGCATCCTGCTTTCATCCGATTGTCGCTGCGATGGTTGCTTATACGGCGGAGTCCCTTCCCCGGTTACCCCGGATCCCCTTCATCTCCAACGTGCATTCCGAAATTCGCATTTACAGTTTGCGTATTTGTGAGTGGACTGACAGTGTTGACTGTTGCATTTGGCCCAGCCACTTTAAAAATTCACTATACGCCTTGTTTATCGTAACTGAAAATATGCCAGACGACTGAAATAGTACATTGAGCAACGTCCCTAGCCTAGGCTTGAGATCAATTCTTAATGGCAACCACAAAGAGTCGCGGATAGCGCAGCAAGACTCTTCCGTCAACCGACGAAGGATAGGCTTCTTTCAAGCGCTTCAGATAGTCACCCAGGAACCCAGTCTTCTCCTGCGGCTGCAAGGGATCCAAATAAGGCCGCAACCCTGTCCCCTTGACCCATTCGATGATGGCTTCGTGATTTTCAAGGGAGTGATAGTAGCTCGTATGAAAGATATTGACCTCTGAACAAAGAGGCTTGAGCTGATCGTAGATGTCCTGTGGCGACTGGAAGGTCTCACGCCCAACAGTCTCCAGAGTTGTCGCCCAGGGGCCGGACTGTGCAGTCTCACGCATCAGAGCATGGGACGGCTCGTCGAGATTATCGGGGACTTGGAGGGCAAACGCGCCGCCAGACGGCTGCGTTCCCATCAATCGCTTGATGACTTCAATCCGCCGTTCCTTTCCGAGCCACTGGAAGACGGCGTTGGAGTAGAACAGATCAACGGGTGATGATGGCGAGTAGGTATTCAAATCTTCCACAGTAAACTCGAGGTGTGGAAGGGTCGATCTTGCCTTCTGGATCATGTCTGGGGACGAGTCGATCCCCTTCAGCTCAGCGTTGGGATAGCGCGACTCTAGGACGGCGGTTGAATTCCCCGGGCCACAGCCCAGGTCTACCACGCGTTTGGGGGCCTGAAGGGGAACTCGCGATAGAAGATCGCGTGCTGGCTGGGTGCGCTCATCCTTGAACTTGAGATACTGCGTTGCGCTCCAGTCGTGGAGGTGCTTCGCTTCGGTGGACATTGCTCTAGGGGCGATGGAGCATGCGGGGAAAGCTCTTTGCGAGAGGAACAATCTTCTGGCCGAGGATTGAATAGTGCAGGACATCTTGAGAGGAAGTAGCCTCTTATCTCATGGTCTGATGGAAGAGGAGTCGAGGATATGTCGAATATATAGGGCCGCTTGAGGGGTGATGTGGGTGAGAAGGCTGAGCGCGCTCGTGGGGGTCGCAAGGGCCGAACTGAGTCGTTCAGCAGGACGCCTAAGTCGGCATTTCTTTGGATTGATTCATCCACTTGGAAATCCTCACAACTGGCCAATCCGACAAGCTATACTCAATTGAATGCTTCTCCAATGGACATGAGCGATCGGCGCAAAACCGCCGATGATCGGGAGTGGCGGGCATAAGCAAGGCGTTAACGGTTTACACCATCGGAGGTAGTTACTTAACAGAATGACGACGCAGAACCAATTCCAATTTGAATGGAACAATGACATGCCCACTCCGTTGTATTGTTGAATTGTTCTCAGTTTCTCTTCATCTATCTCAGTCTCATCTAGGGAGGAGTAGATCAGGTCAAGTGGTGCATAGATTTGTCCTTTTCGCTCTCTAGCAAATATGCGCTCGTAGTAATTAATCTAGCAAGTTTGATATGACTGGATTCCCTTCGATTAGTGATAAATCCATTTCCACTCGCTTTGGACTACAGATCTCGATCACCTACCAGTTTGGGTTATATTATGCACGTGACCTCGCGTTTTCCTGCTTCGCCGAGTCGCTTGGTTCCTCGCTGTAGACATTCGCCGCGCAAAAGACCGCGATGGAGCGTCAAAATGACAGAATCCTCATTGGAAAAAGCACAGAATCCACTGAAACGAAAAAATATCCCTGATGAAGACTCTCGGTCCCTTGACCCGGCCGCGACCCTATCCTCGAACGCGCCGCCTCCAGACGTCGCTGTCGAATCTGCAGGAGCCCGTTCCTCACATGATACGCCTCATGACCAGGAGCCAGAGACATCACAGCCCAAGAAGAACAAGGCGAATGGAAGGAAGAAATCGACTGCTTCAACTCCGCATCCCAAAGCCGCAAAAAGAGGACCCCATCCGCGCCATGGCCCGACGCCTTCAAGCGCCTGTCGCAGACCCACCGTGCTTTGAATCTCGTGTACACTTTTTGTTGCACGCGCAAACATTTCGCTACTACATTTGACAATATCAAGCAAGCTGTGCAGGCCCAGCTTGGGAAGGGACAAGATCTCACTGTCGAGGATGTCGCGAGAGTGAAGGTGCTAGTCCCGCGGGCGGTGCGATTTGAATACGTGGACGAAGCGCGCTTGGAGGTGATGACAGCCGGAGAAAAGGACTTGACAGACCATGGTCGGAATCGACGTGGTCTGTGGACAGAGGAGGATCTTCGAATGCCCAGCTCAGAGGATGGCGGAGACCATTCGGGATTACGACGAGATGTCCTTCTATTCGAATTTGTCGACGGTGATCTCAAGCGGGAGGTGCCGCATCCGAAAACTGGCGAGCCATCTAAACCGGTGCGACGGATGAAGGATGAAGACCTGAAAATGCCGGTCTACAGTCAGAAGCAAATGCTGGGTCTGATCGAGAAGCGCAACAATAAATTCACAGATGCCATTCATGCCTTCCTCATACAGTGTGAAGACCAAGGTACCGACCCAGTCGAGATTTTGGAACAAGAGAAAGACACATTCCTACCGACGCCACCTGGAAATGGAGTGACCAGCCCGGCGGTAGCAAAGGCCCCGGCCACGATTCCCAAAGAGCGCAAGTCAATCGCTGAGATAATTGCGGAAATTCGGGAGATGGAGTGGTATCATGCCCAGATTGTCCCGGAGGGTCATCGAGTGTTTGATGCTCAGACTCCTGTCTACGGTGACCTGACGTTCCAGCTGTCGCAGGACCTGGTAAATGCCTTGTACAATACCAAAAGCATCACCCAGCTCTATTCTCACCAGGCCGAAGCGATCAATCACTTATACGAGGGACATAATGTGATCGTGTCTACTTCGACAAGCTCGGGCAAGTCCCTCATCTACCAGATCCCCATGCTCCATGAGCTGGAAAAAGAACCTGATAGCAGGGGCATGTACATATTCCCGACCAAAGCGTTGGCACAAGACCAACGGCGAAGTATGATGGATCTCCTTCAGTATATGAACGGACTCCAGCATACGATGGTGGAAACCTTTGACGGAGACACACCATTTGCGAGCCGAAACCTCATTCGTGACGAGGCGCGGATCATCTTCACGAATCCTGACATGCTACACATAACTATCTTACCACAAGAAAATGCCTGGCGTACTTACCTGAAAAATCTGAAGTTCGTGGTTGTTGATGAACTTCATGTCTATAACGGATTGTTCGGATCTCACGTTGCCTTGGTCATGAGACGACTCCGGCGAATCTGTGCTGCGGTGGGAAACCGACACGTCAAGTTTATCTCATGCTCTGCTACTGTTGCAAACCCCGAGGAACACATGAAATCTATCTTCGGCGTGCAAGACGTCAGGTTGATTGATTTTGACGGGTCTCCGTCGGGCCGCAAAGAGTTCATTTGCTGGAATACCCCATTCAAGGACCCAGCCGACCCAACCTCAGGACGCGGTGATAGCGTTGCTGAGACTGCGCGTCTGTTTTGCCAATTGGTTCTTCGAGGAGTGAGAGTGATTGCTTTCTGCCGGATCAGAAAGCTCTGTGAGATTCTCCTACAAGCAGTTCGGAACGAATTCCAAGCACTTGAGAGGCCAGAGATCGGCAAGATGGTTATGGGTTACCGTGGCGGATACAGCCCTCAAGACCGACGACGAATCGAGAAAGAAATGTTCGAAGGCAAACTAATGGGAATTGTTGCAACAAATGCCCTGGAACTGGGCGTTGATATTGGATCTCTCGATGCAGTGATCACCCTAGGCTTTCCCTACTCGATATCCAATTTGCGTCAGCAAAGTGGCCGAGCCGGACGGCGCAACAAAGACTCGCTGTCTGTGCTTGTCGGAGACCGGTATCCCACCGACCAGCACTACATGCAGAACCCAGACGAGATCTTCACGCGGCCGAATTGTGAGCTGCAGATTGACCTAGCCAATGAGCTTATTCTGGAAGGCCACGTCCAGTGCGCGGCATTCGAGATGCCTATCCGCCCAGACGAAGACAGCATCTACTTTGGCGAGCAAATCTTCGCGCTTACGGCAACACGCCTGGTCAAGGATAGCATGGGGTTCTATCACTGCCACGAGCGGTTCCGACCACAGCCGTCCCGTTGCATCTCAATCCGCGATACCGAGGACCAGCACTTTGCAGTCATCGACACGACGAACAACCGCAACGTCGTCCTCGAAGAAGTCGAAGCATCGCGCGCATTCTTCACCATATACGAGGGTGGCATCTTCCTTCACCAGGGCCAGACGTATCTCGTACAAGAACTCAACCCAGAACGCCACTTTGCGCGCGTCGTCCGCGTCCACGTCGACTGGAGCACGATGCAGCGCGATTTCACAGACATCGACCCGATCGAAACGGAAACCATGCGGTCCGTCGGCTCCGACCCGAACGCTTCCCGCGCCTTCTTCGGCTCCGTCCAGATCCACGCCGTCGTATACGGCTTCTTCAAGATCGACAAGCGTGGCCGCGTGCTCGACGCCGTCGCCGTCGATAACCCGCCCATCGACCTCCTGACCAAGGGCATGTGGCTCGACGTGCCCAGCCGCGCCATCGAGATCCTGCAATCGCACCGGCTCAACATCGCCGCTGCCATCCACGCCGCCGAGCACGCCGTCCTCTCCTCCTTCCATCCTTCGTCATCTCCTCCCCCGGCGACGTCCGAACCGAGTGCAAGGTCGCCAAGAAGGAACTCGGCCGGCCCCTCCGCCGCGCCACCGATTCCCTGTCCGACGCGGATCTCCAGAAGATCCTGCAGCCGCCGTCGCGCCAGCGCCCCGCTCGTCTGACCTTCTACGACGCCAAGGGCGGCTCCTGCGGCTCCGGCATCGCGGCCAAGGCATTCGAGTTCGTCGGCCTGCTGCTCTGCCGCGCGGTGGCGCGCATCGAGGCTTGCGCGTGTCTCTCGCCGCAGGGATGCGTGGAGTGTGTGTGCGACGAGCGGTGCAAGGAGATGAACGTCGTCATGAGCAAGGCCGGCGCCGGCGTCATCCTGCGGTGTCTGCTTGCGTGGGACGTGGACGTGGACGGCCTGCCGTGGGGCGAGGATGTCGAAGGAGAGGGTTTCGGCGTTGGCGGTGCGGGTGAGCTAGCTGGCGGCCTGGAGACGGTCGTCAGGGCCGAGGAAGTCCCGTGGAAAGCGGGGTGTAGTCCAGATGGGGAGCAGAGTCGGCCGATAGAGGGGGACTTGTAGTTTTGTACGTACATGGCACCGTGAACAGCCGGGCTGGTCAACGGCTCCAGGAACTTGATACCGTTGGTACCCTTGTACTCTGCACTCGCTGGCCTTGCGTATCTTTCCGTGGCCTGGTGGTCTCTATATGCATCCATGATGACGCTCTAGCTAAATGTCGAGATGAAAGCGCATATAATGACACCACGGAATCTACCTAGATAATGAAATGAAAAGAGCCAGAAGAAACTGATATTCAATAGTTTCTGTCCATGTTCAACGGCGTAGCCGTAGATGTCTGTGCAACTGCGTAGCAACTGGGTATAGGTCTAAGAAATTTACACATCAAGTCGTGGCTGAAAGAAGGTCATAGAAATCCAGGGAAGGAATCAAAGGTAGAAAAAAGATTGGGATATTGAGGGGATTGGCGGGTGTATATCGGTGGGTGGATAGGGAGACGGTGGGAGATGGAGCGATCAACACGGGGACGATCAGGAGTGCGTGATAGAAACCGGTAGGGAATGAAGACCGAGGACACAAGGCAGTCTCCCAGGTGCGCCGGTGATGCTGCGCTTAGTTATATTCTTCTTGATTCGACAGTTTGACGTCGTCCGGTCGCAGCGGTGAGTGGATGACCATAGACATGGATAGAGGTGGGTGTAGCTTGAGTAGTAAAAATAGTTACTCATAGCCGCACGGATGAAGCGAAGGATGACCTGTCAACTTGCGTAGACTGACTCCCCTAGGTAGGGCACAGTGATGTTGGATTGTGGCGTAAGCTTGAACTGCCGCCAACTGTGTGCATATCAGGCAAGATTGTTGGACCAGGCTCGCGGATTATGACGCGGCCAGGCGTCAATGCCTAAGACGGACAGGTCATCCACGACTGGAAGTATGCAATCGGGTCAGGCCACGGTCACCCGAGCAGAAATAGCGAGGTTGTATATCTTATGATCCTTCACTGGAAACTGTTGTGGCTGCTTGAAGGGCTTTGCTCGTCTTCGGGGTCGTCGAGGTTCAGTTTCCAGAACATCCCTTTCATGTCGCGCACATTCTCACGGAAATCGTCGCGGGGCTGGTTCGTGCGTTCTTCGGTCATCGCGCGAATCTCGCGGAGGAGATCTGAGTAGCCTTCATCGTTCGGAAGCCACCAATGCACGACTTCGGGGATTTTCCAGATGGCGGCGAGAGCGGTGCGGAATCGGGGATTGATGATATATCTGAGATGGAGAAAGAGGTTAGCATTTTCTCTTTCCTAGCTAATATCCAAGAGATATCAGGTTTGCTGCGGTACGGCTCACCCATTCTGTTCCATCATGGCAATCTTGCGCCTCGACCACATGCAGTATTTGTCATTCTTGGGCAAGAACATGCTGGTGATACCAATGCAATTTTTGAACCCAACATAAAACCCAGTTCCCCTGTCCGGCCAGCGTTCAATGGTTTCGACAAGCTGACACTGTTGGTAGGCGAGCTTGCCCAGGTCTTCCAGCATCGGTTGCTTCAACACGAGCATCGTTTGATACTTGTGCATGGTCTCGGTGGATAGAAGATCGATCCAGATGAAATTAGCATCCCACATTTCACCCTGGTGTATCCGGCCAGGTACGTAAGGGTCCACGACGTCGTCTTCTGTCAAGGGTTGCTTGTTCGGATAAGAGCGCACGATGTATTCAGAGTCATCGAAGGTGCGCATGATGTCCTTTGCGCGCTCGAGCGTCTGGCCTAGCTGCTCATTTCGGGTGACAAACTCATCAAGTGGGATCAAGCCCTGCGATAATTTTGCGTAGAGTGAGGCCATATCCAGACCAAAGCGACGATTGATGGATGCTACCAATGAAAATTGCTTGCACGCGTCATCCGGGTAAAGGGCTGCCTGCTCCAAGTCGTATTGTTCCTTGACCATGTACCAGTCTCGGCTGAGGACCGCCTCGGTACCTGCCAAAATGCCGGCCACCACGTCAAATCGTGCGTACCAGAGGAAAATGTGGGTATGTAAATCGACTAGGTTGGATGATTCAGGGGTAAGCAATTCCCGCATCAACGCGTGTGCTGCTTGATGGTGGTCGATCAGGTTGACCCAATCTCCGATGTATTCCTGTAGGGAAAGACGGTCAGAGCGTGCCCAAAATCGATCAGAGAGTCGCGAAAAGGCGAATGGAATAGAACGATACCTCGAAGGTGGTCAGAACGAGGACTGTGCATAACGTTGCCTCGCTATGCTCTTCTCCCGAACCGAGGGATTTCCGTAAAAGAGTCAACGCTTTATTATAGTATTTGAGGAAAGTATACAGCTTCCCACCAGGGGTCTGCAAGGTGTGAAGATACGCCGCAAAGCCCACGAGCGCGTAGAGTAATGGCTCATACTGCAAGGCAAGTTCAATGATGCTGTGTTGGATGAAGCGAGCGCTGTTACGCCTCAAGAAGAAATGCTCATGAGAAATGAATTCCTGATGAAAATTGAGGTAAAAGCGTACATCCTCTGGCAGGCGAGCCGAGTTGAGCAATTCTACGGTCGAATGCCCGATACTGGCCGACCGCACACTCACTGACTCGAAGCGCGACGACTCGGTCGAGGGTGAGCTGCTTGGCTCCAGGTTGAAAGAGCCGGACTCCGAGACGGACTTCAAGCTGCGTTTCTGCAGCGACTGCCCGCTCTGCGTCCTGTACAGGTCGGGGCGGGAGCTACCCGTGCCACTCGTGGGCGATGGTCGCGATCCCAGCCCGCTGGCGCTGTCGAACTCTTCCTCATCGATGATCGGCTCAAGCGGGCTGCGGTCTCCGGTCTCGACCTTGCCGGAGGAGTCACTCCCTTGCGACGGCGGATACGCACCACGCGATTTGACCGAGGCCCGGGCGCCCGCCTTGGATGAGGTCGCATTGGGGGGCGGATAGACGCAATCGCGGCCACCTTTCCGGCAGCGCTCGCAGACGGGGCGGGATTCATCGCATTTGATGCGGCGAGAGCGACAGGTGAAGCAACCGCTGCGGGTGCGCTTGTGTTTCTTCTGATCCGGGATGGGTTGGAGGAGAGTCGGCTGCTTGGGCGGGTAGGGCGGAGCGGGTATGGGGATGGCCGGCGCGACGGAGGGATCATGCCAAAACGCCACGCTTTCGGGATACTGTGTAGGACCGAAGAGAGAGTAGGCGGACACGCCCGAGTCCTGCTGCATTGAATCGAGGAAGCCCGTCAGGGCGGCCTGGGACTGCTGATACGACTGCTCCATGGCGGATTTCTTTGAGGGCTGGGAGGCGATAGTTCGTTCACCTCCGCGCGAATGTCCCCCGCATGTGAATTAGCATGAAGCTTCGCGGCCTTGCATGATCACCGGCGTCGCTCAGAAGAAGAACACAGCGAGTCCAAGAAAGCCAGTAGGAGCCAGCATGGAGGGCCGAGGAAGGGAGAAGTATTCCGGAAGGTCGAGGTGTAAGTGGGGTGAGATTGACCCGGACTATTGGAACCAGGATGTGCGGAGATTAAAAAAAAAAATAGCACGCTCGTTGCCTTTTTGCTTTCTTGATCTGTCCGGATCCTCCTCTCGCCCGCCATTCTCCGCAATCCCGATCGCCATATCGAATGCCTCTCTGAGGACAACGAGACTTTTGTTCTGGGACTCACGCCCTCCTTTGATGGGCTGATCTCGGATGGCCTCCGGTGGCGCTGAAAGGCGGAGCCGCTGAAATTCCTGGGAATTCTTACTGGGACTGCATCTCAACTCCAGGGAGGGGGAACAACTGGGATCGAGAGAGAACCACTTGGGCCAGACGGAGCAGATGAGAGCAAATGAGAGAGCCCAACAGTCGCCGCGCGGAAAATTATCCACCAGGTGGCATCACAGATCCTGGGAAGGTCGCACTCCTACTAAGCAATGGCCCCCTTCCCATCCCCACTCGCCTTGGGGATCGCTTTATTTTTATCGTGCATCGTGCATCGTGCATCGACGCGGGGCTCGTGTCCTAGCCCAAGAGTCAAGGACGAGCATTGATCGTCCCCAAGCCTCTGGTTTCGGTGAACTCCCTCGGAAGATCGCCTCCAGTCAAGCGTGATATCACCGTCGATGACTCGCTCCCTCTAGGGCTCACGTTCAGTAGTAGTTCAAGTGCCGGCTTGTCAGGGCTTCGAGAGAAGATTATTCCCAGCGCTACGGCGCACAGCTCACATTTTGAATCATTCTTGGTGCTGCATTCCATAGTAGAAGACAGACTACCCTACCCTGTGCAGGCTGTCGATGGATCTGTTCCATGTCATTACACCATGACCAGCGCAGCGCATCCTAGCATCCCACAAGGCTCTGGATTGCATGACTCTTCCAGAATATAATAATTAGATGCCACTGGCAAGTATCTGATTGTCTCCTCTCTTGGCCGTGATTCCTTGGATACCGGTGGGACCGTCTCCTTGAGATGGAGAGCCAAACATGGGGCTCTGAACTGATTTTCCTCGGCGATAACTGCCTTTGGATAGCTTCGGAAGAATGTCACCCGAGACAGGAAGGTCAACTTCTGGGTCTGCATGGGTCATCATTTGGTAGGGACTATCATAGTCCCGACAGTTGTCGATACGGGGCCAGGGACCTCGTGAGCTACCTGCGAACACGTACCTAAGTCAGAGTCGTAGTCACCATAACCCTCATCACCACTCCTTCCAAGGCGGCAATTTGGATTGGCCGGCGACAGCTCGAGGGGAAAGAAAAAGGCCGAAAACGTTCCGTTCATGGCGGTGGAGCCGGAAAGGTGCCGCCATGATTCATGATTGGAACAGCGTGGACCCAATGCAGGTCAAGAACACGGGGGATGGCGTGGTCTAGCGCGGGATGAGTCGCGGGAGTCCGATGGAAAGAAACGGAGAGACCTCGGAAGAGACCTCACCTATCACCTCACAGGAGGAAGGAGGCAAGACGAAAGGGAAGGGGCGAGGAGGAGCTGGAGGAAGGCGCGTGCAGACGCAGCTGAAAGGCGCATGTCTGCTGTTTCGTGACTGCTCTTCTCGTCTGCCGTCTGCCTTCGGCCCTTCCTACATTCCCCGTCATCCTCCACCGCCACCTCCCGCGAGAGAACATTTGGGAACATTTCTGCGGTGGAAAAGACACCGGATTCGCCCCCGTGCAGAGCAAATCGGCATTGTGCCTGATCGACGAGGGTTTGACAGAACGCAAAGGTGGGCCAGCAGATCGAAAAGACGCTAGAAGGGAGGGGAATGTGGGATCGACCACGACGCAGCGCCATTCGCCATGTGGATGGAAGTGCAAGGTGAGCCGGCTGGGCACCAGCGATTTAGTGCCGCCATTCGCCCATTCATCCATCCATCGAGGGCAAAGCACCAGAAGGACCAGGAGTGCATTAGGGGCTAGCACCGATGTTGCTTAGCTCGACGCCCTGATAGTGGAATTGGCGGGGGTTCCACTAGTCGTGCTGCGTCCATGCGTCGTCCATCTGCCAGGCGCGCGCTGGTTCGGTGCTATTCGGTGCTGCTGCTGCTCCAGCACGGCGCTCTCCTGGGCTCCTGGGTAACATCGCCGCTCTGATCTTCCCTCTCCCCCATGGTTGCCGTGGACGAAGAACGTGATCTCCCCTACCCAGCTATGCCGAGACGGGTGACGGTTGAGCGAGGGGAGCCTCATGAATCATTGTCCATGAGCGAAACGGCCGCAGTACAGACCAGCTTCATGGGCTGGGGCAAAGTGCGTGGTCCCAAACTCGTATCATCTCGGGCAGTTTTGCAACGCTGGAGTCTTCTCAGTTCTACTGCCCCCGGACGTGATTCTCTCCCGTGAAACAACGGCAAGGAAGAATTTCTGATTTGCCGACGGGGCCGATCAACGTGTCCGACGGGTCGATCTATCGGCTCCTTCATGTCAGAAACCCATTGGGTGTTTCGAACCACTGCACTTTCCAACGGTCTATACCACTCCACTTTTTACACTTTGCACTTTCTCTCGGAGCGTTGACAAGGTCAGCGATTAATAATTGTGAGGGGAATGCCCCCATCGAGTTTCAGACGTTCATCCTGTCCACATGAAAACCACGATTGTAGTATTTGATGCGACCAGATTGAGAGGGAGGCCAATCTCGTATTGCACTCGAGTGATCCAAATCCGAGATGAAGATGGAGCAGAGCGAGGGAAGCACCGAGCCCGAATTAATTGGTGCAGAGCATGCGAGGGAGGATTTATCACTAGGCTGAATGCAACGTTGGAAGAGGACCGTGGCATCAAATGACTGCAATATCAACCAGCAGTGACACTATCCTGCCTAGGTAGCTTGCACACCGAACATCAACGGCGTGGGATGATCTAGGAAAGGCTCGTGTTCCTGTCCCTGCTCTCCCCACCATGGAAAACGGGAAATTGCGGCCGCTAGACTGACCGTTGTAGCGACAGATTCTCTCATTTACGTACTTTGATACTTCGATAGGACCGGGCGTTCTCAACCAGACGCAGGCCTAGAAGATGTCGTCTACCATATGTTCAGAAACCACCAAAGCGCACAGACATTGGGAAGCTCGTATATGTCGATAAAAGATAACAGCAACGCAAGGCCACGGGTAATATTAACGAGCCCGAGTGAACTAAATATCCGAGTCCGGACCCGATACCAATCTCTCTAAACTAACTTCACACTCACTTCGGTGAACACGTTATTCCAGGGCCCATATAGCCAAGAAACGAAACCCTGACCGCGCTCTCGAGGAAATATCATACTCCGAAGGCGTGCAAGAGATCGGCCGATCCCAGGAGCCATCGGATACGACTGTCTTCAATTGAGTTGACGCCGGCGGGTTTAGCCTGCGGCCCCCAGCGCCCATGCCAACAAGTGCTGCCCACATCGTGCACCGGGATTGCCTGGCCACACGCTGGGCCATCAGTTAGGTCGAGAACAAAGGATATGCACAGCGTAGCCGGTACAAAGGACAACGTACCCGCACAGCGGAGATACGCATATATACGCTGCTCTGTATTCCGTACTTCCGTCGAGGCTCAGGTTCAAGTGGGCCAGGGCAAAGGGAGGATCTGTCCCGTTCCCGTTGGCGCCGGCAGTGCAGAGAGAGGGCCTGATAGCTGATAGCTGTTCATCCCTGGGGTTGCACTGCAGCATTGAGGGTCCTGAGTGTCGCGTGGCCCCGGATGATTTGCCTCTGGGCTGAGAGTCTACGTATGCAACGATGGACTTTCCTTAGAGCAGCGCTAGGGCGATCATGCACTGCATGAAGCATGTGATAGAAGCTCGACCGGTAAGGTGGATGCACATTCACATCCCTGCCAGACTCGCTGCGATCCTCGTTTTTTACTTTGACTAAGGAACTTGCTGGGGCCGATGCATGACGATGGACGAGGCCCTCGTATTCCCGGCGGCGCCGTTAGCCGTCTGGATGATCCTTGGACTTAGGAGCTCCTTCGTCCCCTGCTTGTCGGGATTGGGATTGGCGTGTAGTGTTGCGCTGGGCCCGGTCTGATCCGAAATGCAGGTGGCCTCGCTGTGATGCCGTCATCTGTTCTCCATGGGCCCTAGCTCTGGACCTTGCCCAAGAGGGCCTGGTTTGATTGCGGATTGACATCGTGCATATTGTGGATTGATAGTCGCGTTTTGCTTCATCTCGCCATTTTCACCAGAACCGGAACGAGAAAGTTTCCCCTGTCGACATAACGACATAACCCATTTACTACTCTTGGCTGGGACCACGGCCCTCCACGGCAATCTTGATCTCGCCAAGTGGTGCGTCCCAGTGGCACGCGAGGCTTGGTATAGAGATGCGGGAAATGCGCAGACTTGGGCGACTCTCTCGGTCTTTCGTTTTTTCCAAGATTCATACGTGGTATTTATATATGGTCGTAAAATCGTCAACAGTCTGGCAAGTCGGAGTCTCCGTCATCCATTTCCAGTCGGAACGGGCGGACGTGAGGCTTCAGGCGCTTTTTCGCGCCGCCAGCTCCTTGAGCACCAGATCCACACCCTCAATGACGATGCCCCATTCCGTCTCGTGAACACGCTTCTCAAAGACCTCGATGTCCTCGTCCAGTCCCTTCCGGAACGGAATTTCCCGCACCAGGATGGGCTTCCCCATATCGACCTCTGAGATCACGTCATGAATCATGACGCCGGTCTTGTCAATCTTGCCCTCCATCCACGCGGCATGAGCTCGCTCAATCGCATTCTGCACAGCACCACAGTCAGCACACGCAACTTTCCCCTGAACTAATCCAACAAGCAGGAAACCCCCGGTGCCGGACAAGACAAGGACAGGACAGGACGGAACAGTTTGGACTCACCACGCCATTGAACGCCCCCGGCAGCGCCGGGTGCAAGTTGATAATGCGCACCTTGGCCCTCTCCAGCGGCTCCAGGAACCGCGGCGACAGCACATGCATGAATCCCAAACAAATCACCAGCTCCGGCGAGTCGGCCAGGATCAGCCGCGCCAGCTCGGCGTCGTATTCCTCGCGCGCGGCCTGCACACCCTCCGGCGTGGCTGGGTGCTGCTTCTTGTACTTGACCAGGTTGTGGTACTGCGTCGGGATGTTGGCTTTGCGGGCGCGCTCGAGACCGAAGGCATCTTTGCGGTTAGAGAGGACTCGCACGAGCGTGGTGTTTAGCTGCCCGGCTGCGACTTTGTCGATGACCGCTTGGAGGTTCGAGCCGTTGCCGGAGATGAGGACGGTAGCGCGGATTGGGATGGACATTGTGGCGTAGACGGTGCTGTGTCTAATTTCTCATCAGGTGGGCTGTTTCGTCTTCTCTTTTTTTCTTGTAGAGAATAGACGCCGGTAGAGTGGGCTGGGAGGTCTCGGGCTGACGCGGCGCAATTGCTAGGACTCTTGTAGGTGGGTTGTGAGATTTTGTCTACCGCGTGCATCAATTGGTCTCGCACACAGTGCAGACCGGGAAAGTCATACCTGTACAAGCTAGAGAACTGACATCAGTCGACGGAGCAGAGCTTCCACGAAGTTTTCCGGCACGTGATCGTCCGCGGGGCCGGCGGGGCAGACGCAATTTGGAGTTGGAGTATACAGAAGAACACTACTGATAGTCAACGTTGGATTACATTGGGATTTCCCTTCTCATTCGGGGTCCTCGAAGTTGGAATGATGCTGGAATTTACAGAGTAGACTGGCGAATCAAGGACTATCACTTTACAACCATTTAACCTCTCGCAGGTAGAACCACAAGGCATATGATCCGTGTCCAAGCAGACTCGACAAGAACCCAACAGAAGAATACAAAGAAATGAAGTGGAGAGATAAAACCAAGAGTATGTGTCGTCGTCCGAGAACTCACGCCGCCTCCAGAGCTCCAGGGCGAAGGGGATGATAAATGCAGACATGAAAAAGCGCCGGAAACTGACACAACAGAGACAGAATGCCAAAGGGATATCCATGAAATAAAAGTCGTTAAGGCTCTAAGCAGACGCTGGAATGCTAACGTTCAATGAGGAAGGGGAACCAAGACCCACGGGCCTCGAATGGGCTATTGGCAATGCGAAATGAAGCATACCAATACACTGTGGATAAGATCGATCAGATCGCCATGCCTTCAGGGGCAGAGGAGGGGGCAGGATCGGACGCTGAACCATCTGTGTTGGATGTTTCACGCACGCCCTGGCCTCTGCACAAGGGACAAGAATTCCGCCCAGTGGTTAACCACTAGAATTTCTGGTTAGTCTCACTTTTCGAATGTTAAGGTGAAGTGGGGAGAACGAACCTGATCAATGCAATCTTTGTGGAAGACATGCTTGCATTTAGCGAGCTCTCGAACTTCCTCAGCCACTTCGTAATCGCTCAGGCAAATTCGACAGCGATCGCCGTCCTGGATCTGGATGGCAACTTCGCCATTTACAGCTTCTGCAACCAAAGAGCCGCCGTACTCAACAAGCCTAAACAGGCCACCTGCAGAGTTGACGTCGGCCTGAGAGGCAACAGGAGGCTTGGCAGGTCCTAGCAAAGATGAGAGCAAGATCATGTCCTCGTATGTAGGATTCTACGTAAAAAGTTAGAGTAATTCCCGCAGAGCCGGAAGAATTGGGGTGGGGGTGGACATACATCAGTGAACAGACTTGGAGTCGTGAGAGCCGGGTGATTCTCCGACAAGTTGGTCCCAACGACATAGATCAGCCAACTTCGACCTCCATTTGGAGGGGGTTGGTCAGGTTCAACTACGCCATTACGGCGGACGGACCCCGAGCCCAGGGCTCGATGACGAGCGAATTCAGAGTCGCTTCGTCGACGCTGCCGAGCGGACATGGGTGGCCAGGGCGTTTCTAACACAGGTTCCACCGTTGGTTGCATAGTCCGATCTTCGTGTAGCTGTGGCAAGGCAGCCGGTGACATGGCCGAGGCAGACGATGGTCTGCGACTCGGAGTGGAGTTTTCAGAAGTCACAGCCGACATACCTTGTTCCGCAGGGGTAGAAGGCGGGGGGCGGGGGCCCGGGGGCTTTCGGAAAGGGCAGAAGGGGGAAGGTTGGGTATGTGGTACGTGGACCTGCATCAGAGAGTCTGCGAGAGGGATTCAGGCCTGGTTGGCGTAAAGTCTCAGGGATCCCATAGGCGGGGAGCCCGGGAGAACCCGTCGGGCGAGGGATGGGAAGTCTTGTACGGCCCTGGATAGGATCCCCGGCTGCCTCTGACGGTCGGGGAATGGCGTTTGATGGGAGGAATGGTAGTCCGAGAAGAGCATCAAGGCCTGGGCCTCCAGGGGCCGGAGGCCCTTGTTCTCCATTGCCTCCATTGCCAGCCGGCACTGACCGGACTCCAACTACGACCAAGGTGACTGTCCGCCCCTCAGCTCCCTCTGGAGGCTCATCAACCGACATTCCATCGGATTGAGCGCCCTGATTCTCAGAGCTACTCATGCTTCGCCCCAATGGATTGCCACCAGCAGGTGAGTCCGAATTAGCAAACCGGAAGACACGCAAGAAGTTGACCGGGGGCGACGGTCCTTCATTTTCAGGAATGCTAGGTCCTTCACCTGCTGTCGGTGGTTGGGCTTGGGCCGATGTAGCACTCTGCAGACTCTGAATGAAGTTTTCCAAGGAACCCTCCAATCCGTCATTTCCCAGCGCCTGAATATTCGGTAGAGCAGGGCCCGTGGTCCCTGAAAGCTGAGCTGCTATCGCGGCTGCCGCTAGCTGGAGCACACGAGAAAGAGGGGTCTGCTCTTCTCGTCGCAATGCCCGTGAAGAGCGCGCTCTCATGAGGCCCGGAAGTCGACGCATCAAGTGTGGGTTAGGCTGATTCGAAGATAGAGGTCCGTCATTATGCACGCTTGGCTCCACAGAATCGAGCTCATGTAAGGGTTCATCGAAGTCCAGGCGGGTGTCCATGGCACTCGGAAGACCATCGCTCAGCGATGGCCTCGGGGATGAGTGCGGTGGAATTTCATGCGGAGAAACATTAGACTGTGGCTGGCCGAACATATGAGAAATTGGCGTCGATAGCGAATGACGCATGCGGTGCAGACGAGCACTTCGACGCCAGGAGGCCCGGTTCGTCTCAGTTATTCGCTCACTGGAATTATCGAGGAAGGTTGGGTTCGTTGTCGTTTCGGGTATCGGCGATGAGTCCGTACGCGGTGGAATGAAATATGGCCCCCGAGCGGAGCGCCGACGGGTAACTCCCCTTGATCCGAGTGCACTAAAAGGGCTGAAACGGCCAGTACTATGGGCGGTCTCCGACCGTGGCGGTGTCCTTGACACCAGGCCATGTCTATGCGCATGCCCTTCTGCCGGAGTCTCCTCCTGACTGTTGAGAAGACCGCGGATGACTGAATTGGGGAGAATTCTAGAACCCAGCCTTGACATGGTGGACTGCCTTCTGGCCGCCATGCGAGCAATAGCTGCTGAGCGGTAATCTCGCTCTGCTGATTCCTGGTCGGTACCTTCTTCTTCTTCGATGCTGCGCATGGGGTGCGATAACCCCCCGGAGGGTCGTGTGGGTTGGTGCCATGTCTCCAGGGGCTCATGCGATTGATCAGACGATGAGCCGGGGCCACTTTGTAAGTGTGTTTCCACTCCGGACGAGGTGCCAGCCTCTGCGTTTTGCTCAAATGCCTGCCTGTTGTTCATGTCTTCATTCCTTGTACCAGTATCGCGCGATATCGAGGATGGTGGTGGATAGTCCGTGTAACTAGCGTCGGGGGAATGTCGCGCTGTCGAGGAAGACTGGCCCATAGTAGCAAGTTATGGAAATGGAAACAGGAAAGAAGGGTGTTAGAAACCGTCCACTGCCATAGGATATTACGACGAGCTGACAGCGACCGTGTTAGCACCTGAGCTTTGTCCGATGGATGAGAATGATTGAAGGAGCGAACCTGATGGCGGCTTCTGAGCAATATCAGTCTAGTATTCCAAGTCGTTCTTATCGGCAAATTCACAATGACGCAGACCCCAGTTGATGTGCGAAGCGATACCGGAGCTTAGAGGTTGTGAGTGACTGTCGAGACAAAGGGACGGAATTCGGCAAGGCATCAATAGAAATTCTGTAACGAGGCACCAGATGTTTGAGACAATGCCCACCATCCAATACGAAGCACACAGATCCGTGTTCTCGAACACTCTGACAAGCACCAGGTGCAGGCCACACTCGAGGCTCGATACCCGCCGAGCCCGGAGATGGCGATCAGGGACCCGCTAATGACGATGCCCAAGGAGGGCGTGGAATGTGGGGGATGCAAGCGTTACAAGCAAAAGAGAAGGAAAAAGATTGGAAATGAGGCGAGGCGGATAGGAGGAAAGGAGAGAAGGCGACGTATGGGGGGGGAATGGAGAGGGTGATAGCGATAAGTGATGTTTGCCTCCTTTGCTTCCCGAGGTGCGGTTCTTGGGTCTTAGTCAACGGGATGGTGAAACTTCTAGGCCTTACCATCATTATTATTTCTCAGCACAAACCCACCGCCCCTATAGGCTGCAGGCTGTCGAGTTTGTGAACTGCCGAAACAGCCCTGAATGGAACCCGTGTCTTGTTGAGTATATGGCGCCTGCCCCATCGGCTTCCTTCTTTTCTTTGCCACTGCCCTCCTGGTTACAGCCAACAAGCACTCGCGTCGCCCAATATGACCACCGGAAACGCAAGAAGAGCGACGAGTGGAGCGACGAGGAGGGGGACTTGGCAGATACGACTGATGCTGCCTCAGGGACGGAATCAGTTCCTGGTGGCCAGTCTCTGATTTTGACGCCCAACGAGTCACACCAGTACCGAATTGCCGGCCTCTCTTTCGATCAGGAGCTGCCCGGGGGGACTTTCCCCACGGGCCCGCAAAGGAGGATCATCATCGTCATGAGAACTTGCCGAGCCAGCTTTTTGCCGGTTTATCATCATTGTCGTCCCCGGTTTACCCTCCGCAGTCCCCGGCGCACCAAGGCAACCTTCGACTTCAGCACCTATCGGTATTAACCGCCATTCTACACCGATGTCTGCTCGAAAGAGATTATGTACGCGCTGGAAGAGCATGGGGGCTTATCTTGCGAGAAGAGTTCAGAGGACTTCCGGTGGATGTGCGTAGTGAAGGCAGATGGGGTATCGGTGCTGAGATCCTACTACGGCGAGGCCAACCGGAGCCAGCGGGGAATGCTCGTGACCGATCAGGTAGCACACCTCTGCCCTTCACCAAGAAGGGCTTTGCGGAGGCACAGTCTTACTATGAAAGGCTGATCCTGAATCATCCCTATTCTAAAAGTGCCCCGCATGCTATCTCTGCCCTTCACTTCTATCCGGCAATGTTTGGGCTGTGGATTTATGTCACCCAGGAGGAAAGTAACTCGGCGAGAAAGAATGTCATGGATGACGACGACTCCTCTGATGACATGTCCGTTGAGGAAGATTCCTCAGTCGATTTCGAGACCCGCCAGTCGAACAAGAGACAAGCGCGCATTGCAGCTATCAGGACTCAGGAATTGGAGCAAGCGCAACAAATCGCGACACGTATGGATATGCTTCTCGGATCACCGCCATATATGGACTCGTCCGAATTGCTAGAGCTTCGAGGTATGGTATCCTTGTGGATTGGTGATTTGCTAGTCGCGTCTTTGGTCACGCCTCCAGATCTTGTTGAGGACGAAGAGGAGAACATGGAGGTCGATATAATGCCGACGGACGACCTGACAGGATCATCCGAAAAGAGACGCGAACAAAGGCTTGCGATGGAAAAGAGGCAAGTGGAAGTCCAAAAATCGAAGGACTTCTTAGAGAGGGCGACGCGACGCGGAAGGAGTGTTGCGTATAATATGGAGCACCTTCATATCGACGATGGCTCTCCTTGAATGATGGGACCTCGAAAGAACCCCGCTCGTTCGTTGCCTGGATTTGAATGTTTGACTGTATATCGATCTACTGCCTGGAAGTTTTGATACCCCAAAATACTCATTTGAATCTAAAAGAAGCAGCGGCTGCTCCTACAAAGACCACAAATAATATTTGCATCTAAGCCATGCTGAGTCTAACTTATTCCTAGTGTATTCCAATTAAATCTATTCATCGATGCCATCCGCTCTCGGGTGTAGTATATGTTGCGAATACCAGCAACAGCTTGGCGAATTAGAATCGACTTATCAAGTCAGTACTGCTAGCATTCCTAGGTTAAGTGCCCGCAGCGACTTGGTCCTTCTAGATTAGCAACGATGGGGCAAAGATCTAGACCACGTTGGCTAGATTTTAAGGCCAAAAAATGGCGTAGCACAAGCTCCCGGAGGAGAGAAGGGTGAGGGAGAAGAGTGAGAAGGGAAAGAGAGGCCCCCTTAACCGTGCCCATTTCCGACTAGTCCTATTCGGGGAGCACCCACCCGCTGCGCGTGTGGGTGCACCACAGTGTAAAGAGTGTAAGTGCATTTGGGGCACCTCGGGGTGGGGTCAGGGGGCACCTGACTAGCCTATTTGGGAATGGAGTTAGGGAGTGGGCCAGGTGCCCGTGGAAAAGGTACCTTGTCCCAATCCCAACGTGGCCCGGCGTAGCCCTAAGCCCTACTTGCCAAGTCGGGAACGGGGCTGGCGCATTCCAGCTTCCTTCAGCATCGCCATCCATGGACGTTTGGTCCTTGCGGAACCCGTCGAGTTGATGTTGATCGCGCTAGCTTGAGCTCCTGCGCGATTATGTATCACCTGGCCAAGTCGCTATATATATACGCGACGAGCAAAGAGGGTAAGTCGCATCTCCTGCGCCCTCGGCTTCCCCGACTTGCGCGACCGCTCATCTCCGATCGGAATTCTAGAATACTTGGTGCCCCTGCTAGGCTTGGACAATGCCGGCAAGACCACACTCCTATCGCAGATTAAGGCCTTCTATCAGTCTCGACCGGAGAGAACCCCCGCGCCGAATCCTGGAAAGACTGTCCCTACCATCGGCCAGAATATCGCGACTATCTCCTTACCCAATATGAATCTGAAGATCTAGGATATCAGTGGGCAGATCTCTATATATGGCCTCTGGCAGAGCTACTATAGTAGCTGCTATATAATTATCTTCATCGTCGATAGCGCCGATATAGGCTAGGACCCTGATATTATATAGCTCCCTTCCGCCCTTAGCTGACGACCTAGTTTTGTATCTGGCTCTATGTATAGTAGTAGTTAGATGAGTATAAATGAATACTTCTCCGAACAGAATATAGGGATTAATGTAGATAGGGCTGAGTTTAGACGCCTAGACGAGTGTTAGTAGGTCCTAGAATCGGTTCTCTAGAATACCAATATAGCAGGGGTCCTGATCCTAGTGTTAGCTAATAAATAAGATCGCGAGGATTGTGTCGAAGTGGTCTGGATTAAGGAGGGCTTTGTCTAGAAGGTCTTTAAAGGCGAGATAGGAAGCAGTGTCTAAGACAGTTATATGCTGCTGGTTAGCGTGTTACTGGGATCGGGGGTGTAGGCGGCTGTCGAATAGGTGTAGAGTCGCGTTAAGTGGAATAAAAAAGGCTGGCCGCCTGTGATATGGTGATTCGATTGGAGATCAAGCCGGTCGGATCGAACATTATAGGGTGGGATAATTGCATCACGGCGTTTGTAAATGGTAATATCTGTCTGAGGGCTTCTAACACCGTGGTTGTCACTTATTCTTCAGCGTTTTGGTCAACTGATCTTTACGAGGTTGCTGATGTCGAAGATTGGCTGTGTAGGGGCTTGAATATCTATGTTCTCATCACTGTCAGAAACGGGGATCGATCCTATCTTAAGTACAGCGAGCCACTGCTGGGGCGGTCTTGACGGCCGGCAGCATAATGAGAGACACTGATCTATGGATGTCCTGCTGTGAATAGCATTGGACAAAGAATGAACAAAACAGAAGTCTAGCGTATTCAGTTCCCTTGTTCTTTCCCATGATGTCCTCTCATCTATGACTTCAGCATATTTCTGAGTTCTAGCTAAGGAATCCAGCAACGGGAGTAATCCTATTGTGCTTCAAGTCTTCGGTTACTATGTCGGCAGATACCTAGGTATAGCCTCAGCCCCCTCCCAACTCCCAGAAGAGCTAGTTATCCTGCTCATACCCCGGTGGTTTGTCGATTAGATCAAATGGACTCTTCGTGGAGTCACCATCGAGACCAAAGATGGAGGCACGATATATCTTTAGGCAGTATGAGAAGTTTTTTTTCGGATCGAGTGGATATAGCTTCTTCATAGTTTCTTTCGCTTCATCAGTCAGCGCGAAGCCGCGAAACTGCTGGCAACATCCACATTCAACCGTACAATGGCCAGCTCCCGACTGGCGTTCCGGCCTGAGCTTGCGATCCCGACAGCATCCACACGCACGGCCGCAGCACCCACCTCGGTCAGCACAATCGTCGGAGAGTGTTTTATGGAGATACCACTGCGGGTGGGATCGCCACAGGTCAAGTCCTCTTCGCATCGACCCGCAGGCAATGTCTGCGCGCCATCGATTGTTCTTCTGTTCGGCAAGAAAGTATTCCTGTTTGAGATTTTGTATCTCTTCTTGTGTTGCTTCTAGTTTGCTCTCGGCCACTCCAGTTCGCTCGATCTCTTCCTCCAAGAATATCTCTCTCTGTGCGATTTCGCGGAGCCGAAGTTCTGTTTGGAGGAACTCGGGACATCTTCCATGGTACGTGCTGGAGTCTTCGTAAAACTGATAGGTCTTGTAGCGGCGATACTCTTGTAGTTCCCATATCTCGCCTTGCTTCTCTAGTTTTCTCTCCTTCTTGAGAGTACTGGAAAAAAGTCCCATATTGGGCATAAATCGAAGGATGAGGCCGATATGCGAGTTAGTTTTCCAACTTGCTGCACGTTTGTGAAGGGCAGAGGAAACTGGAAAGTGGGTGCTTAGCTCGATAGTTAGTGTTGTTGGAGGTTCTGATGTCATGATCTATCATTGATTCACTAGTTAACTAACTAGTTAACTGTTAGGATGTACCTAGGTAGGTAACTTACCTCCTGGTTACGGGCGCGAACATCCTTATGCAAGCCTAGCCACCGGCCGCTACGCGACGAGATGAGAACTGCGAGAGATGGATCAATCAAGGTTAAAGGTCATTGAGGAATATCCTATTGGAAACGGACTAGGTGCCATCCGTACCTCGTTCAATTCGACAGTTAAAGGCGGAAGGATCCTGAGTACCCCTTACACACCTTGCCAGTCAAAAGGTAAGCTGGCTACTGTACATCAGCAGCCCTTCTCGCCGTTGCAACATTCCCTGACTGCGTTCTCTGGCTGCTGTAGATCTTCGACGCCTGTCCCTCAATTTTCTGGTTGCTTTGCAAAATCTCCCTGCTGTCAGCCTCTTACCTTCCAGAAAAGGCCGTGGTACTCTCGAAACTGATATCCTGAAACTTCTTTCTGCTGTTACATCTGACAACTTCGACTTTGACCGTATCAAAGCCCTCCTCCGAGCTGCTCTTGCCGATAAACTACAAGATACACTGATATGGGACCTGGTGTCCATTGCTGCTGCCGAATCCACCCCGCCTCCTCGACCGATACCTTCACTCCAAGAAACACCGTGGAGTCAGAGCACGAGCGGCATTGTGAACTCATCGGAATTTCGCCAGAATGTGGATCCAATCCTGAAGTTGGAGCTTGGGAGCTTATACGTCGGGCTACCTAATCTCTGTGATACCTTCTTGAGTAGCGTTCCTGGTCTTCAGACAACGGCTGCCACTGTCTTTTGAGAATGCACTGAAGGTGATAGTCCACTATTTGGCAGCGAAGGATGGAGTGGATGGCCCGCAGGCGCGAAGGAAAGTGACGTCCTGACTTGGTTCAGCGAACTCATCCCGAAGCTAGAAACATTTGCAAGCAACTACAGTGGGCGAAAGTTGCTTGCGCAGCCTAAAACGCCATTACGGGCCTCTACAGGCAAACGCAGTATGGGCATTGGCTTTGTCAACCACGACATAACTTATACAGCGATAGAGGAAGACGTTAGATATTGCTGGTCACATATCCTCGTACCTGGGGAGCTGAAAAGTAACCCGGAGGCTGACAAAGCATCGATGGCCTGGATGGACCTTGCAACATATGCAAGAGAAGTGCTTGCTGTACAAGAAACTCGTCGCTTTGTCTTGGGCTTTACTCTCTGCGGGTCTCGAATAAGGATGTGGGAGTTTGATCGGCTGGGTGGGATTGCCTCCGAACAATTTGATATCAACAAAAAAGAAGGCGGGCTACAATTTGTGAGTATGGTGCTCGGATTCCTTTGGATGAATGAGGATGGACTTGGATTCGACCCCACAATTATCGTATCTGGCAAGGAACGATATATTGAGATCGAGCGAAATGGCCGGATAGAGCGCCTTATTATTGATGAGGTCATGAAACATGCACCTTGTATCGCCGGTCGTGCAACGACGTGTTGGAAAGCCCACCGCAAGGAGGACCCTCAGGCAACCTTTGTTATTAAAGACTCATGGCAGTATACCGACCGAGACGAAGAAGGTATACTTCTTCAAGAAGCAACAGAGAAAGGCGTGGTTAATGTTGCCCGATATTACCACCATGAGACTGTTTGCGTCCAGGGTATTGATGACGATATTCAAAACAATGTCCGAAAGGGGTTGGATGTTACCCAGGCTACGAATTACCGAACAGGTCGTCCCCTGTTGGCATCAAGCACATCGCATCTTTCTCGCCAGGGGCGAAGTAGCAGCGCTGGCTTGAAGCGGCCGTCTAGTGAAACCAATGCCACTCTGCCATCAAACAAGCGATCCCGCCAATCATCTCCAGCCAAGCCCAGCTTTGAAGCACAGCCAAATCGGATACCAAACCGGATACACCGACGCATAATTCTTCGTGACTACGGAAAGCCGATTTACAAGGCCAGCTCCCGCGAGGCTCTGCTTGCTGCACTGGAGGACTGCATTGAAGGTCACCATTCGCTGCACAAGGCTGGCTTCCTGCATCGAGACATCTCTATCAACAATCTCATGATCAATGAGGACAAAGATAACAGTTCTTTCACGGCGTTTTTGATTGATCTTGACCTTGCTGTCCGAGAGCAACGAGAAAGCGCCTCTGGTGCCAAGGGGAAGACCGGCACGAGGGCATTCATGGCCATCGGGGCACTGCTAGGCAATGAGCAGCATTCCTTTATGCATGACCTCGAGTCATTCTTCTGGGTGCTGTTCTGGATATGCATTCACTACAGCAGGCCAGGAAAGCCCATCGGAGTCACCGAGTTCGACAGTTGGAATTATGAAAGTGACAATAAACTGATTTGATCTAAGCAGGGCGTGATTTCTGATGAAGACTATTTTCTGAGGACGGCTGAGGATAATTTCACGCAATACTATCAGCCGTTGATCCCATGGGTTAACAGGTTGAGGAGGGAGGTATTCCCGAATGGAGAGAGGTGGAAGAAACCAGCGCCAGATTTGTATCACTTGATGAAGAATGTTCTACAGGGAGCGCAGAAAGACTCGAGGGTAATCAACGAATAGTGTTTCTCCTACTGTTTACATTATCAATGTCCAAACGGTGTACAGAAGCTTGAAGAAAAGAAGGAATAGTTAGTTATTGATGCCTGCCAGGCCCAGGCTAAGTAGGTAGACACAAAATTAGGATGAACATGGTAATTGTGCCTAGAATGACTGAAATCCTTGACTTATACCCCGCAATGAGGTCGATAAATTCATTTATATCACCTCTCATGATCCGTTTTTCCCGGAGAAAGCTGAAGCACTTGACGCCCAACGGGGGTTTCGTGGAGGAGTATCCATCCCCGGAAAAGATTGTCGCAACCATCGATGAGAGGTGCCTGTCATTGATTCGGGGACAAGGTGTTCTTATGGCATGGATGAAGAGTGGCCGCGCCTCCGTTGAGTTGTTGATGGGAAAGAGATGAGGAAGATAAAGTCTTGTAAGTCAACTCCGCGGGCCCGCGTGGCATTGATACTGCACTGTCACCAAGGAGGTCCCGCCATACTGGGTACTCCTATATAGGAGTACATACCAAGGTTGGATGCAGGCAATAATCATCACGGCCCCGGGGGCTTCCAAGATAGGCAATCTGCAGCGCGTAGTGCACGTGACCACGCGGCCATCTCGCGTCGGGCGATCCGACCGACATCTACTCACCTCCATCTCGACAATTGTCGGGAAAGATATCCACTTCCAATATTCTGCCAGCAACTCCATAGTAGCTGCTCAGCCAGCACATCTATCCATCATGGGAGTGGGCGATTACGTCCACTCCAAGGAGGCCGGGCAGCCCCGTGTCCCCCCCGACTTAGGCCCGTCGCAGCGCCAATTGCGGGCCGCGCAAGCAAAAATTGAAATGCCCATCGCGCATCTGGACAGATCGAACATGAACGGAAATTCTGTCCCGCTGGGGCTAGGTTTTCAGGGGGCGCCTCTCCCTCCAGACCAACATTCCCGTACACTCCCTGAAAATGGACACCCGCGGGACGTATTTGACACCGACGTGGAAGCCATCGATGATTCGACCATCGCAGCAACCAGTGTTTTCGGCTATGACGATGGTCACTCTCCGACAGCACCTAACGAAAACGTTCCTTTTAATGAAACATCCCCTCGGCCATCTTACCTGCCTCGGCCTACTCGTCATGCCCGAGCATCTTGGTATGGTGGCAGCCTGGGTGACAAAGTCATGAAGAAGGCAGGATTTGACTCCGACGATGCGCATGATACCTCGAGCCAAGTAACGTCGTCTGCTGGGGCGGACGACGAGAAAACCGAAGAGCCCAAAGAACCCAGCAGCTGGTTCTTGTCTCACAAGCATCGTTCAGCGGAAGAGCCGCTCAGCAAACGCCTCGAGAACTTTTGGTCTGCGAGTAAAAGAGTTTCAAAATCCGTGGATCGGCCACAGGCAGAATCTCGTTCATCGCCTCCTGTGAATCCAATCCCGGAACCTCAGCCACGGAAACTGGGCCATATGCTGCCTCCCACCGGGCCTAGGAAGATCATCCTGCCACCAGCCACGTCTGGAACACCAAGAACGCGCTTCAGTCCACCCAAGCCATCACTGCTGGATCAGCTGGATATCTCACCAACTCGTCATAGTTCCGAGCCGCCACTACAAGCTGGGCGAACTCTCAGCATGACGGCTTTCCATCCCGCCGAGCATAGCGATGATGAGGACGAAAGCGAAGCTGGCATTGATGAAACGATACGAGTCGATAGCCGCCGTGAAAGTGGTCAATCCTCCAATATCTTCGATGTCACAAACCTGGCGGATCTCGATCGCAATGGCGACGATGAACTGATGCAAGACCCATTTCTCTCACAATCCACCACGCGTGCCCGCCGCAACACGGTGATTAACACCAAAAAACGACCCATTGAAGCCGACTACCCTCCACACCTGCTGTACCAAAAGTCCTTTGCTGAATTGCAAGCTGAACCTTTCGACAAAACTCCGACTCCTCCTCCCCCTCCTGCTAGATCACCTTCATTGCCGCCACAGCCCTCGGTGGCCCCATTCACACAGTCTCCGGATAATGCTGTCTCGAATCTAATGATACTTCCCGAGCAAGACCGTCAGACATACCTGGCTCGCATGTCTGTCGACGAATGGGAAGACTGTGGAGACCAGATCATTGACCGATTCACCCATCTCCTCACCGAGATGAAGAATCTGCGTCGTGCTCGTCGTCGCACTGCTGCTATTTTCGAGAACGAAGTTAAGCGTCGCCACGATGGGGTCGAAGCGCAGAATGTCGAACTGTCGGCAAAACTAGATGAAATGAGAACAGGAGGCGTGGAGGTCCTGCGCGGACGAAATGGATGAGCATACAATCCTTTTCTTTTGATTACCAAGTTGCCAGGTCATATTTTACATTTCTTTACTGATACGCATACCCTACGATATCCGTGGTTTTCGATTTTGTCCTCTGGTCACGAATCGAGAGGATCAATTTTCGTTCATGCTCAATACCCCATCCTGTACCTCTCGATGTCCTCATTTTATGGTTGTGCTGTTTCATTTATGTAGATCGATGGATGCCGGAGACGACTTTCTCATGTCTTGCAAACAGTTTGACTACAAAATATAATATTGACATCCACACAGCTTGTTCTACCAAGCTATGGTCTCTTCGGCCTTCATTCAGTTAACTGTATGAAATGCACCCTCAAATGCTTTAAAACGCCAGGACCTGCGATGCAAGAACTTCCCAGACAAATATCTTCGGTCAGGAAAAATGAAGAAACAAGCCTCTAGACGACAAGAACAAATCAAACCAGAACTTCCCAATGGAGATCGGAGTAAAATGATCACAAACACTGGTAGATACAGTGAGATAACTCTGCAACAGGTTCAGCGAGATCCTGCACCGGATTTGGACAGCGCAAGGGCCAAACGTTTGTAATCTTCAAGCAATATTGCTACATCTCCAATGCGAAGATCACGCACATCTTGGGTTTCAAGAAATCGTTGGATGGGAGGATCAACATTTCCTGAAGAGGTAGGGAGTGGGCTCGGTGTGCCACTGCTGCCGTCTACCGAGCCAGGTGACACCTTGAGACGGTCCATTGCTGCAGGAGATGTTGATCTGGCACTAGGAGTGTCTGGTGCGTTGCGGCCGAAGTTCTTAATCATTCCCGGGATGTGATTGAGTGGATTGAGCGTGTTGCCAAAGCTTCGCATTGATTCCAAGGGATTGGGACTGGTAATGGTCGACGGGCTCTGAGCGTATTCATCACGAAGTGACGCGGTGATGGACCGTTTGCTGCTCGCCTGGGTCCTTGCGCTATCCGTGCTTCGGTCGCGAGGCGTGCGGCCACCGCTGGTGAGTCCGGTTGCCCGTTGGCCGCTGCGTGTTTGTGCACCGTCATCCGAAGGAATGGAATTAATTGAAAGCATATCATCTTGCATAATGGTTGGTCTGTTGGCCGGTGGTGCGGCAACGAGACGGCGAGCTTCGGCCAGTGTCTTGGGCAATACCGGTCCATTTCCTTGGGGCCCTTGGCTCTGCAGCTCCTTGAGACGACCGAAAAGAAAGTTGAAACTATTGTCTAACGAAGCACCGATGTTCTTCAGACTCTGGTCTGCTGTATTGCGAACAGCATCGTTGGCAGCCTCGAGGACTTTGGCGGGCGGTTGAAAAAGGTTGCTCAGCCGCCGCTGCTGCGGCGCTGGAGAAGGGCGAGGCCGAGGTAATGTTGATGACACCGGTTCTTTTGCCTCGGGCTTTGCAATTTCAGGCGACGCCGATACTGTTGTTACAGACGACGTTGTAGTCTCTTTAGACGGTCGAAAGGGGTCGACTCGCTCAGAAGACGGGGTGGTCTCGCTAGGGGTCTTGAGAGGACCTTCCTGTAGTTCATCCGCTCGCAAGCTAGACAACTCAACATTCTCCAAGAAGCTGATCGCAGCTTCAAGATTGGTCAGACAGTACGCTGTCTCCCCGTCGACCTTGTTGGATGATCTGAAACGTTGGATGAAAAGCAAATTGCTTGTGATATTGATGCCCTCGGGCGGACAAGTGACAAGTGAGTAGATCAATGTGGGCAAAATTTCATCTGCCGAAGATGAAGAAGGGAGCAGCTTTGTTAGGGCATCAACGATGGCTTTGTGGGCAGCTGCAAACCCTAAACTCCCCGCTGACGTAGTGCGCGGGCGACCCATGCGGACAAGTCTGTATGGGCAGTGTGCGATGCTCGGGGACATCGATCCCAGCGGGACCCTCCAAACCTGGGGCGGTTGATTGCCCCTGCATGAATTTATCACGCGAAAACTCTGTCGGCCACTCGCCCTTCATGCTCACTTGCTTTCACTACAGGTACTCAGAAGTGTACGGTACGGCCTTCCTTATTTCTGCGTTTCCCGTGAACAATAGGCCTCTGGTTGTGTCTGTTGTGGCAAGTTAGACCCTTTGAGGTATAAAGAATAGGACGAAGAAGCAAGTGCTGTAATATTAGAGACTTCCTGATGGAGGATTACTTGCTGCCTTATAAACAAATGCTACTTGCTATCGGTTATTCCTTTGAAGGCTCCAACGCAACCCGGCGCATATCACCGAACTTAAATCTTTCGTCAGATGCCAACATGTGATGCAATGACCTGCAGCCAAGAAACCAAACGGGTGCTAACGGCAAGGATCTACCGTAGATATGAGTCGGCCGTCTAATAATGGCCGCGAAAATGAGGTACACGTGAACCAATGGCGCCGTAACCATCCGTTAATAGGTGCAAGAGGTCCGTACTGATACATGGTGTTTTCTTGTTCAGCTAAAGCTCACCTACCGCAGGGATAACAGTGGCCCCGCCTATTTTCCTTAAGAGATTGTCATTATTAGCAGACACAGTAATCGTATAGCACAAGTACCTGAACTACGTTAAAGCTAGATAGGTTGTCTCTGTCTAGGGGTAACGCCTATTGACTCTTGCAAGATGGTGGGATGAAGATAAGCCTCGCGCAGCCTGTGTGGTGGCTTCTCTATGGTAGCCAACCACCTCACGCCACGTCCATTGGGTTTCATTGGGAAGCTCCACTTCGGGTGGCCGTATGTTGGTGAGCACATACCCCCCATTAAGTGCTGATCTCTCAAGACTTGAAGTGTTCGTTGCCTCGCTTCGATTTTCCTTGTTTTCAGACGCCACCAATGAGCGGGCCAATAGCAGCCTACCATAAAAATATGAGTAGGGGAGCTACTGTATGATCTTGATCGAGAAGCAGGTACTCCGGGGGTGATCAGCAAATCTGACACGCCATCGGGTAGTATCTAAACAAGATCGATGCCGAAATTGCGCAAGGATGTCACGTAGCCGCAACCATCTCAGCTTTGGTCTGGAAACACATCAATGTTCAGTCGTGTGAGCGCAGCCTCCGCGGATATCAATTTCTGGCTCAGGGCGGAAGACAAACTCAGCCATCTTCGTGTCTCTCTCTGTCCAGCTTGTTGGAGAACTGGCTGCGTCGCAACTTCTTACATTGCTAACTGCCAAAATTCGCCACACGAGTCAGCCAATGAAGGTTGCCGATAATGGATTCTCCTTATTCCCCGCCCTGATTACAAGATGGGAGCATATGCAACATGTGGACTAGAGACGGCTTGAGGTTCGCTGTGCCTCGGAAGCCGGACGGACGTATGCGGGACGGGACTATATGGAAAACGTGGACCAGTGATGTCTTGAGGGCTCGCTGCCGCTGAAGCGGGACAGGAGTATATAGAGACGGCAGCATTAGAAACGTAGATAGGTGATATCTTTAGGGTTCGCTGATAGTAGCGGCTAGTGGGGTATGTAGTAGTAGAAGTTGCCACCGCAAATTAGGTAGCCTTATGTAGTCGACCCTTGTGGTAGGTAGTGTGCAATCGCTCGAAAGACGTCAACGTAAAGATATATTATTATTTATGTGAGCCGCTATAACCGACATTAATTGCCTTCAAGCAGCGTGTCCGGCCGGAAGTCCGTTAGGATATTGACGGCCAACCAGAACTTGACATGACCCTTCATAACGATCTGGTTTTCCTTCTGTTTATCCATATCTTCCTCTGTGGAGTTTATTCATCAGTACACCAATGCTTTGCTACCCCGAAACTTAGAATCTATATTTCTTACGCTGTAAGTGCACCATCTGAAGCGAAGGGTTCGTGGAACGGTTCAATGCTCCACTGTCTTCTCACCTACTGAGTCTTACATTCTGGCAGGTAACAATGACGGACACTCATCTTGAACCGACATCAATTCCCGACTCTCCAGCGGCTAGCCATGCCATCGCTGTACAAACACAAGGAGATCCTCCACTTCGCACCTTGTCCCGCCCAGACTCCACCTGTTCATCTTGTCAACATTTATCCCGATGTTTGGCGGCACCGGTCTCTAACCACAACAAAGATCGGAATCTGGATGGTTACACCGATTTAGCTGACCCAGCTTCTCGCTACTCTCCACATACGGACAGCTATTCCCCGGTAAAAAAAGCAACCAGTTTGGACGAGTATGATAAAGTGATTACAGGCCCATTCAACTACGTGTATGGACTGCCTGGCAAAAATATACGCGCACAGATGATCAATGCTTTCAATGCCTGGTTGGAAGTTCCCTCAGATAGCCTGCAAGTCATTGCTGATGTGATCGGTATGCTACATACGGCATCCTTGCTGGTTGATGATGTGGAAGATTCGTCACTTTTGCGACGAGGCTTCCCGGTTGCGCATAATATCTTTGGCGTGCCACAGACCATCAACAGCGCTAATTACATGTATTTCCGCGCACTTGAAAAGGCTCAGACTCTGAAGAGTCCGGATGCTACACGTATCATCGTTTACGAGCTACTGCAACTGCACCGTGGCCAGGGCATGGACCTCTATTGGAGAGACTCATTGGTCTGTCCAACGGAGAGGGAATACCTGGACATGGTAGGAAAGAAAACTGGCGGCTTGTTCCGGCTCGCGGTTAAGCTGATGCAAGCCGAGTCACCAAAGACTGTGCCACAAGGGTGTGTGCCGTTAGCTGATAAATTGGGGCTGCTTTTCCAGATCAGAGATGATTATCAGAATCTCAACTCCGAAGAGTATAGTGATAGCAAGGGTATGTGTGAGGATTTGACAGAAGGGAAATTCTCCTTTCCTGTCATCCATAGCATTCGGCATGACCCAACCAATCTGCAACTCCATCACATCCTCAGATTAAAAACTACTGATCTGGAGGTCAAGCGATATGCCGTCAAATATATGGAGGGCACCGGAAGTTTTCAGTATACCAGCCAGCGCATCAACGCCTTAATCACGCAGGCAAGATGTGCAGCAGATGAGATTGATGGTCGGAGCAAAAGCAGACATATTCATGAATTGTTAGATAAGTTAGTAATATGATCGTGCGCAGATTGTAACATCAACAAGTTCGAGGATTGGGATAGGGTAGTACTACAACACAGCAATATGAAACATATTGTGTCCTATACTTTCAAAGTCCGCATTTCACTGTCCCACCCCATTATATCCTAGCAATTTAGCATTACTATGGGGTCACTTATATTAGCGCCATCATATGCTCTTTACGAATATGCGCCGTCATAGTGACAGTAGTGCTTGAAGGGTAGCAATCAATTCGACGTCCACGTCCACGTCCACGTCTTCAATACACGGTGACTTTACTCATTGAATATTTACAGTAGATAGACTGAGTCCAATCGCGTGTTGACGGGATCACTCCAGGTGCCACATTGAGTCCTCCATAAACTCATCATGGAAGGCTGGTCGTCCGGGGCTTGTTGATGGCGCCAGGGATAACCTTACTAGCGACTGCAACCCGACACACAATCGCTTCATAACGTAATTCCCAAGCGAGCCGCCCACCCAAGCGAGCCGCCCACCTAACCATCTACTTTTTACTTTTCATCTATTTTCTTCAACCAAAACGCCTTTATATTAATTATTCTACCTAACTGGGCATGTAGGGGACTTATGCCCCTTCTCACCGCATATAGAATAGGTGTATTGACGTCGTCGCGCTGGTGCTACCGCCTGCTGAATAGGCTGGCTGGGTGCTGCTAGAGACGGTGCCGTAGGCTGTATAATAGCCTCATGGGCTTATAAATGCTCCTGAGCTTCTTACACTGAGATACCAGCTTCATAGGCTATATACCTATTAATACGTGCGCGCTTTTACCTCTGCACTGCGTTAGCAGCGCGTAATTCCTTAACTTCTTGCTCAAGTAATATGCCGTTTTGCATAGCGATCTGACAGCCCTTAATAAGCTGGTTTAACGCGGTTTTTGAGGGTGTTGGTGGGCTATTTGAGCGTCGTTTCAAGAAGCCTAGATTGACGCTCCTTGTTTAAGTAGTTCAGCGATAGTCGCGGGTGTTTTTGGGGTAAAAACGCTAGATCGGCTACTTAGGCGGCTTCCTGAGGGTGTAGGCGTTCGAAGCTAGATATTGAGTTTTGAAAGCACTCGTTCTAGGTCGAACGGCACTAAACCACCTGCCGCAAAGCTATTTGTAATTGTATCTGCTTTAAAAGCGTCGATGCGAGCCTGTGGGTATGCTGTGAGGAAATCGAACTTGTCGATATGGTTGATGCTAAGCCACATTTTTTGATCAACCAAGGTTCCGTACGAGCGCTTTAAAACCGCAAAACAACTAATATTAAGTGGCTGTAAGAGATGTGAGCTATGCGCTAGTATACAGATAGGAATTATCTCGTTTTCTAAGCAAATTTAGTCGAAATAGGGCGTGAGATAGCTACCGTGCCCATCAAGGACTAATAATCGATATCGGCTATGCGTACGGCTATTCGTTGATGGTATAAATAGCTTTTGAAGCCATCGAAGGCCAATCTCGTCTGTCGTCCATCCATTTTGACTAACTTCAAAGCGCCAATCCCTCGGAAGGTCATTGGTCCAAGCTAGATTATGTAGTTTGCCTTTGAAGATAATCGTAGGCGGAAGCGCCCACCCAGAAGCGCTAATTGACTCGATTGTAGTCACCCACTCGCGATTTCCTAGCTGTAAAACTGATCGCCGACCGTAGTATTCTGCTCGGGTAATAACCTTTGCGGTCGCTGTAAGGCCTATAGCGAAACCAGTCTCGTCAAAGTTATAGATATCCTCCGGTAGGATACCGTATTGCTGAACCGTAGTTTGTACGCGATCAAACCACTCTTGAATAACCTTTGGATCCTCTTGTTTTGCTCGCTGATAGTTATATCGACGTGAAAAACGAGTCTTTAGCTCTGTCTGTCTTTTGACATAGTTTGTGACCCAATTTTTGCTGACCGTCTGGATTGGGGTTGAACCACGCTTTGCAAGCAAAAGATTCGCCATTTCTCGCACCATAGAGGGCCTAGGGGCTGCTCCACGCGTATCCATTGACAATATCCACTTTTTAAGCGATTCCTCTTCAATTTGGGTCAATTTATGGCTATTGGCGCGTGTTTGAGGGCGAAATTGGTGGCCGGTAATGCGGTCGCGGAGGGTAGTACGAGGCACATTAAAACGACGTGCTACCTCACGGATAGAGGTGATTTCTTTGTTTTTTATAGCCTGTATAGCTAATTCGAGGCGGCCCTCTTGCTCGATAGAATTTCGGCTTGATTGAGCACGTTTTGGAGGCATGGTGGTTGGTAGAAAATAGAAGGACGCGTGTGGACGCGTGAAAACTAGTTGGGTGGGCGGCTCGCTTGGGAATTACGTTAAGTCCAACACAGTCTATTCCGAACATTGAGACTCGCAACCGTATGCGCTCAACTATCAGTGAGTTAAGCCCGAAGCCCCAAAGGCTGTATTCTGAGTTGACTGGGAGGTTGCGGCAATGAACACTGCACCCAGGAGCAGGTTCTCTCTCCTAGGAATGTATCTCGTCGTTCCCGGGAGCGACTATAGGCGCTCCTGGGAGTGTAGTCACTCCGAGGAGCTTGACCATTTGCTCCCAGGATCACGTCATGCTATTCCTTCCTAGGAATTGTGCGCTGCTCCCGGGATCTACGGATCGTTTTGTGATAAGATGCTTCTATACCTAGCACATTCATGCCTCGTTGAGATCGTCTTCAAAGTCAAAAGGGCCATTCACCAACGGATTGGATTCGTCTTGCGTTGCCAGCTGGCGTCAAAATTTTCCCCTTAGGTTTACCGCCAACACTGGTCGTGCGCGATGAACGCGTCGCATATTTTGGATGTTCGTAGAGAGGGGAGTTATTAGTGTCGTGAAAGACGGGCTCGCTTATGGGTCCCCTGTCCGCGAGCTCGGGGTGGACTTGGTGGAAGGTGGGATATGCTATATCTCACTGAGGTAGTTGGACGAGAGAAACTATATATTAGGTGGAAGTGAGTTGACCAGGAGAAGCATGTGTTGGGAACAATAGGTCAAGAAGGAGACTGCACGAAGGACGACGAGGAGAATGACGAGGGCCGAGGAATACTTTGTTCCTATGGGTCCACATTAATCAATTTGAATAGGACGACACTAACGCGTGAGTACCGGGTCTAGCCAGTTATTCGGGACATCTCATTATCTAAATATTATAGTGATGCTCTTTACCCCCGTGGGGGTTGACGAGACCTCCTTAACCACAATTTCAGGAATCAAATTATCAACCAACGGTGATTTTGCATCGAAAATTAGGCTCCTATCTGGTAGGCATCCTCGATATCTCAGTGAGACAGTCTCACTAAGACTTACACCTAGATATGGAGACATAGGGGATCAACCAAAGTTTTGGCATTTGACAAAGCAGCTAAGCATAAGGCGAGAACCTTGAAAGTCAACAAGAGTCTGTGTGGAGACAAGGAGATAAGACTCGGTAGTAGGAATGGGATCTATCTGGTCACGTGATAATAGATCCGTTCTAACTCGCGCACAGTCGGTGAACCTAATATAACGCTTCCGTGCTTTCGTTATCTTCGCCTCACTTTAATATCATCAACACTACTACTTAACGTATGTGGGTTTGGGCATATCGCAAAGACTACTCTTTCAAGCCATTGACCCAATCGTCCTTAATCGTCCTCAATCGTCCTCAATCGTCCTCAATCGTCCTCAATCGTCCTCAATCGTCCTCAATCGTCCTCAATCGTCCCTAATCGTCCGCAATCGCCCGCAATCGTCCGCAATCGTCATAAGTCATCCCTAATATTCTACAAATCAGCCTCAACTGGAAACTATATGGCAAATACGCTAGATATACACCCTGGGTGCGACTGCGTTGCATATAAGAAACGTTACCAGGATTGGCCTAGAGAAAATGCAGAGATCAGAATCTCCTCTTATATGCGAATATGTCCTTATTATGGGAAGAGGCATTTAAACGCTAGTCGGCTCCGAAAGCATCTGCGTCAGCGTAAATACCAGGAGAGGAATATTTTTATCGCACCAGAGCGTCCTAGAGCTGCTGGCGTCGGGTACTTTTTCCTACCCCTGTATCCCTTGGTAAGGAGCTCTGACAGTGTCTAGGGACCTATACTGTATCGGTAATGATTTAAAATATTGTAGCTCGATTACGTCGACATAGACCTCCCAGGCTATCTCTAAGGAGGACCCGACGTCTATCTTATATAAGATTCAAGCTGACTTCGGCCCTGAGTTTGGAGTTCTCACGAAATGCTATCTTTCATACTAGAACCGTATGTTAGAGCAAGATCAAGATCTATGGTTCAAATGTACGTCGTTAATTCCTTATCTACTTAATGGCTCTCGTTGCTGGCGTAGTTGGGCTCCTCTCGCCCGCGAGCTATTTATGGACACGATATGGGAAATATCGACTGAAAATTCAACGACTCAGAGGAGCTCTAAGGCTCGATTCCGGGTCAACTTCCAAGGTGAAGTGGACGAGGTATTTAACCCTTACCTTGTTCTCTCACAGCTTATAGACCCCGACCTAAATAAACCTACATTTCTCACTGGTTTACGGCTGTCAACGGTAGACAGCCTTGGGTTTCGCTTACCCTACGATATCTCTACTGTTGTAGAGCTATTTGACGAGACGAATAATTAGGTTAATTTGACTCCAAAATACTCCTTCGTAGACTTGCATACTGGTGAGTAATTATCTCCCATGAACAACTCCTTTGCTAATCCTCGTGAAGACTATAGTATAGATAGATTATTAACTGTGATTGGTGATTGCCGAAAAATTTGGCTCCTATATCCGCCCACGGATAAGAATTTGAATGCTATAAAGACCGTTGACGGCCAGCGTGCAAAGTTAAATCGCTTAGCGCATCAACTAGAAGGTGGCGTCGTTATAGAGACGATATCATCGCATACGATATTTATCCCGGCTAGTTGTCCTTATGCCACATTCACTCTTCAAGGTAGCTATTTGGTTACTAAGGATTTTACAACTGCAAAGTCCCTGAATGCGATTGCAAGCTTCATTGTCTATGGACTCGATGAAAGTTTGCCTATAGAGGCTCGAGAAGCTTGCTTTGATTGGTTTGAACGCTATTTAGATGTCACCTTTGCCTAAAAGTAGGTGACTACCGCGGTCTCCGCATAGTTGAAGGCGGAAACAAAGTTGGCGGTTTAGGCATCTACCTATCGGAGGTGGCGAGTTAACGTTCGGCGCTTGTGGGAGCATCACGCTCAAGGCTTTGTCGCTAACTGCCCGTGTGGTCTTTAGGAGGTAACTTCGTCTTTCTTCTAGCACTTCTCTTCCGTCCACATAAGTTCATTACTATCGTCTTCTCACCTACGATATCGACGGTGATAACAATCATGATTCGGCGAAGATAAACGCACAAAGTTTTAAACATATCCTATATATATCTCTACTTATAAATTCATATATATTATGCCGCGCTAGTAGCCTTTTTACGACGCCATCGCTTCGGGCTCGTGATGGAGAATCTTCTTCATCCACCGAAAACGTTTATTTTCTATGCTCTAGATACGACGCGAGGTAGGGGTCGTGCTATAGATTGCGCTGTAGCAGAGACTAAAGGAAACTTCTTTTAGTGCTCGCTTAATGGCAGTATCCTAGATAGTTATAGTTCGGTTAGTGCTTAGCATATATTTAGAGGGAACGCTAGCCGGCCACATTTGATCTAGATTCCTAAGGGTAGACAAAGGAATAGCCCTATCTATCTAGAGCTCATCGAGTATTTCCTCCCTCGTATATAGCCAATAGTAGACCACAATAAATTGGCTATCATCGAGCCATCGAATGTCAGAAACCTTAGTAGGGGCGGCACTATTTCCGGTGTCTACGCTAACAATGTCACCCCGACGTAGAGTCTACGAATCAAGGGGGGCCATTTTGACCTTCTCGAGGCACTTCTAGGGCTTGGCGCCATTGATTGGGAGCGGTTGGAAGTTCTCGACCCCCTCTCGCGACACGACGTAGAGTGCCTAGGCTAGGGCAGCCAACTAAGTTCGGCGAATAATAATCCTAAAACGTATGTGGCACAAAGTCTCCAGTAGCACCTATTCGCAGTAAACCCAAGCTAGATTCAACGCTACCGTAGCTTCAACGGTCTTAGTAGTAAGTAAGGATGAAAACAGACTTAGCTTCTTACAAACAACGGCAAAGAATCTCGACACTGGATCCGTATTAGGAGATGCTGGGCTTTTCTCCTCCCTCTCCTAGAAGCTTAGCGGATTATCGAATATACACGCGAAGGCTTTACCAAGAGGATAGTCCATATCGCCAGTTTCGACGAGCTTTGAATGCATATCCTCAAGACAATCTTCAAGCATTTTCTTTACGCCATCAATATTAGGGTGTTGCTTTGCAAATTCTGGCGTTTTCGAGCTAGCGAAGGTTTCATTCTTGTTGTCAGTGACTTATGACGAAGGGGAATTTTGACGGTCGGGGTCGGTGAGAGGCGCAGAATTAGCACTAGTGATGGCATTGTCTTCGTTCTTGTCCACGTCCACGTCCATTTGTTCGCTAATTTGATCATCAAAATGCAGCCACTGAGTAAAATCCACATCGTAGGGGAAATTGGCCCCTGGGGGAGATAAAGGAAGCGAGCCTTGCAGCAAACGTTAGTAACATTCAACTTTGATCAATTATCAATGCGGCGTGTTATCTATAGGAGTCTGCTTGTTGGAAAAGGTGAACTTCTGTTACCATCGGATCGTTGCTCATCAACAATTCTCGAATATATATTAGTCGAGTGGGCACCCGTCGAGGCCAGCGGATTTGGCTGAGTTATCAAACTTGAATTGTTTATACTGCAAGAGAGAATAGCAGGAGCATATTCTATAACTTTATCCCTTGCTGGCTAATCGAGGCTCGCAAATGCGGCAAGGTGTATTGCAAAAGACTGCGCGAACTGGGTTTGTCAGTCTCCGATCTAACATAACTAGACAATTATTGACAAACATTAGGAGAGGTTGTCCATCGACGGTATATATAGGCTTGATCAGCATGTAGCTATTAGAGATAGAGCAGTGAGCATTGATCTTCCGTAGTTGGAACCTTCTCTCACTAGAATATCTATATATAAGTGAGCCGGATAGGTAGGCATTGTGTTGCGAGACGAGGATAGATGAAGGAACTAGGTGGAATGAGCGAGAAGCAAGAGGGGCGGCAAAAGTATAAGGGAATGCACGTGACATACGTTTGGCTTTTGCCTAGGTGGAGCCGATGTTTGTTAAAGCCCTACCTACCTCTTTTGACTTGCAACGTTTAAACGAAGATATCGACTGAGTTCTCCCTGTTTACCAAAGAATTCCATCCATCACCGCCTGGTTATAAAAACTGTCAACAGCGTATTGCACGGTCCTTTCGAACTTAGGGATTTCTAGCTCATACAATGTTCAATATAAATCCAAAATAACCTATTCTATCGATTGGTTCCTTGATGACTTGCTGGATGGCGATTTTACCTAGTCTTACGTCAAATGCGATTACTTCCAGGGTATGTTGAATCTGCGACTTATGAAAATAGTTACCTTCAATCTATCTGAAGTTTTATTTTGAGTTTCATTTCCTTTTTCTTTTGGAGTGTTCATATATTGCCAACCTCACTCGGAAAACTCCATGCCATCGTGAATCCCTATGCGTTTGTAGAGGCATTTCAAAGCGACGCTTCCCGTGCTCAATAATACACGCGCGCTTGTGACGCTATATCATAATAACATCAAGATATAGGGAAGAGACATCAATCAGCAAATGCCTATGTTTGCTGCCCGCATGCAAATTAAGTAGCACTAATTTGAGCTTGGGGTTGCCATCTAGGTTCAACTAAGCAGGCTACAACCTGCCGGGGCAACTCACGCTCAGGCACCTTATACTAGGGTAGGTGATTGGCGACGAAGTGATTGCCATAGACGTTGGTATAGAATGTGTAGGTATTTGGTCGGCGTTTCATCACATAAGGTGCAACTGTCAAGACGAAGGGAGATCTAAAATGATGATTATAAGAGGGGAGTGGTACCGAAATAGGTTTTATATGACATCTCTGCTCTTAATTGGTCCGTGCTCTTCGATTAGGTCTCACAGTACTAATTTTCTCTCAAGAGGATTCTCTCAGGAGCCAATACCTCCCGGAAGAAAGTTTCTGATTGCACCATCCCAAGCACGGCCGATTTTCGAGACACTCTACCTAGAAATACCTTACTGTCATCGGCTTCTTGCCAACTTGTCTACGAGAAGCTCTACTTAGTCCCACGATAGACATAGAAAATGTTTTCCATTTCGTCAACCCTCTTCAAAGGTCTCTTGGGGCGACATGGCTCCTCTCTGTTGAAACCCCCTGTTTCGGGCCATATATGTCTATGTCTAATTCTCCTCCGGGGAAGGGGCGGGAATGGAGTCGACCCGGTGGGTGGCAGGGTTGAAGACCTCGACGTTATTCTTGACTTGGAAAATGCGCGGTCCGCCGTGTAATAATCTCTTTGGGGAGAGTTTATGTTCCGTACAGTAACGCGGACTTTGATAGTGAATTAAGTGCCTTAGACTACACGCCAAGCTATTTTAGGAATAACTAGCTATTTTAGGATTAACTAGGAATTGTATCGCGGCACCTTCGATATTATTCCGTTTTAAATTCCTGGGGCACCAATGTCTGATCGTTAGTTCCCTGTAAACAGAAGAAAGCCGAGGGAAGAAACATAGGGGCACACCAGGGTCCGCAAAAACAAAGTGGCCCAAACCTATTGCTTAAACACTGCCTCTGAAAAGAGAGGACGGACCCTCGGAAAATTGCAATCGATTGGCAAAACGATCGCATAGTGAGAATGAGTGGGAGATAGATATGTACAATCCACTCATAGACAGTAACATACCTACATTGATTCATGAATTTTATTAATGAATTTCCTGGTAATTACAGAATGAACATGTCTATGCTGATCATAAAACATTAACAACCATAGTCTAACAATGTAAATCGAGAGAAAAAGCCGACTAGCACGAGGTCATACGATTAGCGAGAGGTCGTACGATTAGCGAGAGGTCGTACGATTAACAAATGGGTTTCAAATCTCAGCAACTACGAGTGGGAGGCCTTAAACTCTTAAAGATCGTAGTCTTGAGATACGCATGATATTTCGCTCTAGCAGAAGGGTTAAAATCTAATGTGAACATCACCGCCTGACGTCATCAATAAAAGAAAATGCTAAATATAGAATCAGATCTCTAGCACAGGCTTACTTCTTTTTTTTGAACAGCCCCTTGCTTCACTCGCACTACTTCTTGGAGTAAAATTCCTAGCTTCTCCAAATCACAGGGACATCCCGGCAAATGGGAGCCAACTGCGAAAAACTTACTTCCTATACTGTCACCTCGCCTAAAAAGCTCAAAAGAATGGACAAATTGTTTTTCGATATGGAGAAAGAGACCCCTCAGCTCCTTCAGCACGAAGTCACGCCTATGGCTGCGAAAGCTTAGACATCAAATCTGCTTTGAATATGTAGAAAGGAGCATCTAGCACTTACATCAGAGTGGACAGCTTCTTACTCCCGATGAGTATTGCTCTATGGGATAATCTACTGACGCATATCGACCATCGCCGTCCAATCTTAATTTGGTTGGCGATCCTGTAACGTCTCTGTGATCGAGTTTTCTCATCTAGGGTAAACCATTCGTTTGCATATAATTGCTCTAGAATGATGTCGTAGAGTCGAGCATGTTTCTCATATAGTATCTCGTTGCCACTTCTATACTGCTGGTAGCAGTGGAACTGGAACAAGTAAGTCATTTCCAAAGCAATCGACCCAACTTTCTCATGTCCGAGATTGTTCAGTCTCCTTGTGACTTCGACAATACGGTTGAGATCACCAGACTCAGCCTGCCATTGTTCAAAGTATTCTGTAAAACAACGGAATTCTTCCTTGCGCACCATAATGTCGTCATCATCGAAAAGGTCACTCTCATTGAATCTCAGGTCTCTCTTGATCGTAGTCCTGGAAATGAATGCCATGTTGAAAAAATATGGTGTTGACTTCTTGCACACCCAAAAGCGAAATATATAGGGGAGATCCTCCCTAATTTTGAACCATGTTGGTTTGAGTTCCAAAATTGGGGCTGATTTCCTACGACCGCTTTCTAAAAATAGTTCTGGAATCATTTTGTTATCACGGTATGCTAAAATGGCTAGTTAATCCTAAAATAGCTAGTTAGTCCTTTTCCCCTGACGAAAAGGCAAGCCGATGACGCAATATGTGCTGATTTACGCGAACCTGACCAGCGCTCCAGCGTCTTCTTTTTGGTGCTTCATTTTAGAAAGAATTTTCGCTGAATTGAAGGCGGACCCTATTGAGGGACTACGGCCGCGGATGATTCTAAATTAATCTTAGGGATTTTCCCGTACTGAAGTTACACGTCTACCTTGTAAGCCTGCTGGCCCCAGGAACCAACCAGAGGATCTTGCACCACCCATGTAAGAGATATTGAGGTGGCTCAGGAAACAGGGAGACGCTAGATACATATACATGGATTGCATTTCTTTTGAACGCACCGAGGAGTAATAATATCTCCGAGTGTCTGTCATCTACTCTATCCATAAAGATCCTAAGCTCCCCGGGTGTCCAAGGTCTTTAAATCACTTATCCTTAGCTGTTGATCCCATTTCACCGTCGACTCCACATACGGCTGGTCAGCAAATTAGACGCTATGGAGTGATTCTACCTCAGTCTTCACCGCAAGGGCCATCTCCAGAACCGGTGCGGGGATACACTGCCACGAAGCAACGTCATGGCAGCCTATATAGAGCAAGAGGGTGTAGCACAAGAGAGGTCACACTCATCACCGTGAGCGGGTGTTATGGAGACTTCTGAGGCATATCAGAGTGAATGAGCTATGGTGTCAATGGCTCACACCGAGGTCATCGTATTCCGCGCTCGTGGCGAATGGAATCGCATGGTCCATTAAATGGTGGTCGATCCGACTATCACCCACGTGGAACGGGCGACGAGTAAAATACGCGCGTGAACATAAGGCAACTTTCTGACAAAAACCTCCCGCGAATCACCCCTGCGCTATGCTTTTATGCCGCAATTGAGAGTGGCATAAAGGCAGTATCTATGACATTCAACGACGAGGTACAGTATATATATATGTATGTATGACTTCATTTACCCCGACCTCTCGCAAATTTGAAAGCGATACGCAGGCTACCTCAATGATAAATACACAATTGTCTTCTATGATACCACTTCTTAACCAAACTTTGAGCCTCGCTGTGGCCTGTGTTTATTTCCACTTTGGCCTGTGAGCAAGGTTTGGGATACTCCATTCACCCTGTGAGATAGTGTCTCCCAACAGAGACGTGATAGTTTTATAGAGTTCCAGGCACTGGGATTCGAACCAGAGAACCCCCAGAAGATGCGGAGTGAACAACTCCCATCTCCTGTATCAGGACCACCTTTCTACAGATTACAGAGCGTAAACAACCTGCCCTGCTGCCGAAAAACACGGTTCAAGAAGGTGAGGGCGTTGGAATTGACTAAGAAGCAGGCCATATTTCTGGCAGCCCTCACCGCTGACTGAACGAGCCACGACCATGAGGACCGGCCAATGAGACGAAGGAATTAAGTTGAATGCCTACCTTCCAATAGATCAGCCGCAGACATAAGACTAAAGATTTGAAGGCCACTCGGGCCGCTCGGTTGTCTCAGACACCAGTTGACTGTTTGAAAGCTGGGCAAGACCGAAGGCTGTGGACGTACGTCCAACATGGATGTACGTCCAGAGGCATAGGTACTGGGCCCTAAATCGCCCGCTTCAGATCTTCATCCCTATAGCCACAGACCTACTACAATGCCTGACTTATAGCACATTTCGATGTACGTCCGTAGAGAGCCCTTTTTAATCCGGCAAGATTTTCCTCGCGTACAGTAGTACGCGTGCAATGCGATTATCTTACTGTCTAGAAGTATCTCAAGACTACCGTCGCTGATGTTTGAAGACCTCTTGCATATTGGATTGAAACAGTCTTTCCAGCCTTGCTTGGAACTAGACTGCGCCAAAGCCCATACATGGGCCCTAAACTGAAAGCCCAACCCAACCCACGGCCCACGATGGGCCGAAGGTTTCGGCCCATTTAGGCCCATTTAGGCCCATTTTTGCATAAAATCATGGTCTTGGCATGTATAACTTAGCTGATTAATCGTATTTAACTTCTGTTATTTACATATGTTCTGGTCACCAATTAACTTACCCTTTAATTTTATTTATTTACTACTGAAACAAAAGGAAATTTAAGTGTATCTGTTAATAGTTTAAGGGACAATTTATTAATTACCAGTTCTAACCGTACTAATATAAAGCTGTTGTAGTAAAAAGGGAGTTTTTTATTATAATGCGTCCTATCTAGTGACGTGGAAGTGGAAATATATATTTTTCCTTGATGAAGGTAGTGTGAGTTTTAGAAGGGAACTCACTTTATTTTTTTTAGCCTTAACAACTCGTTATATTTATTATTTAGGTAGATGAATTAAATCTATTAGGATCCTTTTATCATTAATTAGTATTTAACATTATTATAGGCAAAGCGTAGGCTATAAATTCGGATTAAAGGTAGAGATACTGAACTTAGTTGTAAATTTTTGAGGGAAAATTTAATCCAAATGGGCTGGGTATGGGCTTTCAGTGGGTTTTGGTGGGCTTTGGTGGGCTTTTGATGGGCTTTGATGGGCTTTTGATGGGCTTTGGTGGGTTTTGGTGGGCTTTTGGGGGGCGGGCTTATATTAGGTCATCAGAGTCTACCAATCATAGCTATTTCTAGTGTCTAGGGTCTGACTTAGTGAGAAGTTGACAAGTCTATCCTTAACACTAACATAGAGCACTTAGTATGTTTCTATTCTCTTCCCACCTCTTTCTCACTTTTCTCTTATTTTTCTCTTACGGAGCTTATCTTTTGCTATAATGTCCCAAAGCCAGCACTCTGATATCTTTCCGTCATCTAACTTAGATGATACAGAAAGTATCCCATTTCTCTCGCGAGGGAGCCAACCAGTACTTGATTTCGATCACGAGATAGCCTTCTCACTACCGCCACTACACCCTCCCTCTATATTTAAGCGTGTTGGACCTACTCGTATAAAGGGATACGTTCTCTACGACCCTACAATGCATTCCGAATGGGCAGAGTGGTGGGTTCAAACCGACGGGGGTAGGACAAGCAAAATCAGCTGGGATGGTAGGCGTCAGTCTTCAATTTGGAACTATTTTGAGTAGGTGGCAGACGCCCTTAAGGGCACACCAATGCTTATGTGTAAGCGCTGTGGGACAACTCTTGAGCATCCATCTTCGCTTGTTCCTGCTAGTACCTCGCGATATGGAACTTCGACGCATCGAATACATCTTGACACAATCGCATGTCAAAGGGCAATCGGTACCACAAAAACGATTACTAAGTTTCTTCAAGAAGTAGTAAGTCTTCTACTATCCGACGAATATAATACTAATTATTTAATAGAGAGAAAACCCAGCAACAAAGAAAGCGTTTACGCAAGACGCGTGGGAAGAGCAAATCCTTACCTTTGTCACTGTCGCTTGGCTCCCATTTCGCCTCATTGAGCACCCTGAGTTCCACCGGTTATTACAAATGACATAGTCTGCCCCTTTAATGCCTGAAGTGCCTAAAGCAAAGGCTATCCGTGGTCGTCTTAGGACAATAGTCAAAGAATGGCACCAGAGTATCATACGTAGGCTTCCAGAGCATTCGAAGATCTCAATAGCCCTTGACTGTTGGACATCCTCATTTAAGCAATCATTTATGGCTATTACTGGCTATTTTATTGACGAGGACTGGCAATATCGTGAGGTTCTACTAGGCTTTAAGCCAGCCCCCGGAGTCCATTCGGGAGAAAACCTTTGTGCACTACTTTTAGATGTGTTAAAGGAGCATTAGATCCAGGATAGAGTCTTTGCAGTTACCGCTGATAACGCATCGAACAACGAGACTCTCTTTACTGCGTTACAGCAGTCATTACCGGATTCTGTGGATCTTATTCGAGTCCTATGCCTTGCCTATATTATTCAATTAAGCTTAAATCAGCTACTTGATAGGATGAATGCAGCCCCAGAGAATGATACAACTAAGCTACACTGGACAACTGAGCGGTCCCAGAAGGCTTGGGCGAATGCAACCGCAAGCGCGAGGAAGCGATAGATATCGTACACTTTAAGCAAGGTATTTCTTCCTTTCTCTTACTTCTAGCTTTTAACTTACTTTATAGTAGGTTCGCGACCTTGCTATCTATATCAATTATAGCTCCTAGCGCCGTGAGGCGTTTCGCGACCTCCAGACTGAAGAAAGTAAGCTACTACTACTTCAGGACGTCAAGACGCGATGGAACTCTACGTTTCTAATGCTTCGACGCGCAAAGCGTCTTCGACTAGCATTAACCGACTTCTGTCGTGCGTTTGATCGGCTAGATATGATACTTGATGCGGACGAATGGCGTCAAATTGATTACCTTTTATGGATCACGCAACCATTCTTTGACTTTACCCTTAAGCTTTCAAAGACCACTGACGCAACTACACACCTTGTCTTTCTGATCTATAATGAGCTATTTAAGCATCTCGAGTCCTTAGTTAACCAGCTTCGACGGAAGAAAGTGCCTTGGAAGCAGAATATGCTTATAGCACTTGAGGCTGGGAAACAAAAGCTAAGCAAATATTATAGCTAGACTGACTATATTTGGGGTGATCTCTATGCGATTGGAACAATCCTAGCACCTATTAATAAGTTCTAATTCTTTATGACCGCAGATTGGGATGAACAGTGGCGCGAGAGGTACCGAAAGAGCTTTAAGGAGTACCTTCTTCCTTACTAGGAACGTCTTAAGTCGTAGCAAGATCAACCTACGCCTCAAACAGCAGCAAAGAAGGGATCACGGCTTAATCAGATGCTTAGTGGACGCAAGGGCTATAAAGCTCCGCCAAGGGACGAAATGGCTTAGTACCTTGATA